TGTTTAGTCGTAGATTGACGTAATCCTCAACTTGACATTATCCAAGTTAAACAGGTGACCCACGACGTGTAGCATGATGTAATTTACGACAACAATGATCTAATACAGCTGCGTAATGTATCATTAATGCATTCCTTCTTTACTATAAAACAATGAATACGCTCATTTATACATCACAATTTTTCTTTATAACCACTGTATTACTCATTTGCTAAAGATAGGAACACAATGAAATAGAGTAGCTAAACCAGTCGCAAGTTTTTAATAAATATCTAATATTTTTTAATGCAACCCATACGTGAAATAAAAAATAATCTGGTTTCTGAGAATACTGAAATTATAAACAATCTACTAGCAAATTGGATTATTGCATTGAAACATGTAGCAAGTGTATATAGATTTAGTGAGAATATTTTTCTAACGAAGTGGTGTATGTTCTAAGCTAATGCTCTGGTGTATTGTCTGCGGTTTGAAAATTTATTATTAAATCCAAATAGAAATCAATTTTTGTGTTGCAACAACTTGGTCATCTCACAGCTATCCATTTCAATTTAGAATCCGATGCTCATACTTACGTACAACTAAATTTTGTGCAGTGCAATATTTGAGAAATAAGTCATTGTTCATAAACCTTGTAGTAGCAACGAGAAAGTTAAAAAAGCTAGCAAAACAACAATTTTGCTCTAAATCGATTCAGTAAATTAAAAACGCTGTAAGTATTCAGGGGCGGATCCAGCTCAAAATTTGTCGGTGTCTGGGGGGGTCTGAGGACATGCTCCCCCAGAAAATTTTTAAATTTTAACTCCCTGAAATGCGTCTTCCTTTATTTTGAGGGCAGAATACAGAAAAATACTGTCATGACCAAATCAAATAAAATGATCTACTTTAAGAGTTTTTTTCTAATTTTGGTAATACATGCACGTCATGGATAAAAACGTATAATTTTGACAATTTCGTTCAGCTTCTTCCACAACTGCTGCTTGATTGCCTCTTTTTGTAAAAAATTGAGAGTGCAGCATTAAACAAGCCATAGCAAAGGCATTTTTATATGAAGTAAATGCCCCATACTCATGCAATGATTTGATACGGGGGTGCTTAGCATAGTATGAAGTATTTTTATATAACTCAATACTGATGAGGCACCACAGTATGTTGGAAAGACTTTCATTTGAAATCAGGGCAATAGAACAAGCATTTTGAAGACAATTCGATCAGCCAAAGTTCTAAAACATGTTGAGTAGAAAGTATTGCTATATATTTTACAGAGTTGAGGGAATTAAATCATTTTTTTAATGTTAGAGAATGATCATGTCCAAAGCAATGAGCTTCAACTATACAACAAAATATCAAGCTTAATGTTATACATTGATGAAGAGGATCATTATTTATTCATCTATAGGAAACAAAGCAACCAGCTTGGAGAATTAGTTGCAATTTTACAGCAAACTTTAAAAATTGAGAAGGATAATTATTATTTATTATTTATATAACCATAGGGTACAAAGCCAACATAGAGAACACAGTTGCAGTGTTATAGAAAGGTGTAAGAGCTGAGGAGGTGGCTCATTTAAATAACTATATGGTCAAAGCAACCCAATGTCAGGAATATAGTTGCAGTGTTATGCCAAGCATTAAAAATTGATAAGTAGCATAATTATTTATATACAACTTTCGGGTACAAAGCAAACAGTGTCAGGGACACAGCTGCATTTTTGTAGCAAGTTTATTAATCGAGGAGGTGCCTTATTTGTAAATATACTTAGATGATACAAAGTAACCAGCTTTTGAGAATAAAGAACTTTGCATTTTTATAGCAACCTTAAGTTTTGAAGAAGAGGCTTATTATTTATATGTTTAATTTGGTAAAAAGCAACCAGTGAGCTTTGAGAATACATTCAAAAAGCGTTCACATGTTTCTTCAGCTTCTAAATCTCGATGGAAATATCTTCTTCAATATCTATACAACTGAAACTTCAACTTAGTTGGCGCAGAATATCAAAACTCGCACTGTATGAGGCCATTGTAGATATACAATGTATAATAATATTGATTTTGACAAGCTCTTTTCCGACTATTTCCCATCTGCAACGATGTCACAGTCATTGCGCAACAAAATTATGGCTAGGGTGTCACTTGCACAAAAAGCTTGAGCTGTGATTGGCTTGACACCCTTTCATGGTGTCAGAAGATGGCAAATTGCGCAACATTCAAACCGCCGACAATGTCAATAATGCTCTATCACAAAATCACAGGCTCGTTTACGAGTAATTACGAAGTTAACTCCAAAGAAATGCCGCTAAATCCATAGATCTTTCAAAATTTCATACGTCATAGCATGTAGCGCCGTGTCGACAATATTATTTGGTTATTTACGACAAAATTTATTATTTATTCGTGTTTTATGAGGATTGTGTTAAAATAATGCTGTGTTAAGTAAGAAAATATAAATCTATATACATTTGAATGAAATATTAGAATCTTTCTCATATTATTTAAGTTCTTTGATATATTCAGTCTCTGTAATGAGTTATTGCATGGTTTATAAAAAACTGTCGGTGTCATTTTACACACACATGACACCACCTGGATCCGTCCCTGGTATAAGTTAACAATCAAACATATTCTGAGCAAGCTTTGCACTTTGACAAACCAAGAATCCTGAAAAAAGTTAGGACATATTTGTCAAGATTGTATTTATATTTTATTATGTAGACTTATCAATGGCTATAGTTTTCATTCAATCAACACACAACATTAATAATTATGAAATTTTTCACTATGCTTAGAACTACAAGCCATTTACACTTCTCTTTATGATACTTCATTATATTTCTTAAGGCGTTTAGTTACTTTTGAAAATTTTTGAATACACACATCACATTGTTTGTGATGTGATTATACAAAGAAAATACATAAGAAGTATATACTGCCAATGCACAATATTGTCAATATACAAAGTAGAAAAAGATTAAAGAAAGAATATTTGTTCAAACTTGAACAGAAACTTTTAGCATTTTGCATTTTCGTCTGTATTTAGTTTGTTAAAAATAGCGATCGTCATTCGTACATTTTATATGAAAGAAATATTGTAAAGGCTATGGATTATATGAAACTTGTCAATTGTATACTGGCTGCTGACATAAAATCATGAATGTGCAGGCGCGTACGTCTGTTAACCATGATCTAGTGCCGACCTACGCAAGAGTGGTATTTTCTCTCGTACAACTTTGTAAGGACTGCGGACATATGTAAAACTGTCACGTGCAGAAAGTGTAAAATTTCCTTGTAAATTTCCTAGGATTTACTGTACAGCTGTGTAGTAAAGTGATACAAAAAGCACGAGAGCTGTCGCGTAAACTTGTTCATTGAACTGGCAACTAACTCCTACAAGCTTCGGGGTGTCCCATAAGGGGCAACTATCATTACATCCCCCTTCTTTCAATAGGACAAAACTATAAACATAACTTGGCCCTCAATGGAATACCAGGAAGAGTTTTTTTTTAACAGTCTATAAAGTGTTAATATTTGTAATCAAGACATTACATAGTCATTGTATTTAGTAGGTATTGTTCGGGTTCTTGTAGACCTTCTAAATGGAGGAGTGGGTGAAGATGGTCCAGGTTCGTCAACAGTGGTTTCTGCTTCAGCTTGGTTATCATCATCTGTGCTCGGTAAGGCTATTGTGCTACTTTCTGCCAGGGGAGCTCAGGTATCTCATGTGGTATCATGGGTTCCTTTTGGTTCTGGCTTCTAAAGGTGGCACAAACGGTACAGTTAGATACAACAGTAATAATGTCATCATTCATACCTGGCCAGTATATCACTGATCTATCTCTATTCTTGCACTTTTCTATGCCTTGATGGCTTTCGTGGATTAATTGTAGCATGTCTTTCCTCATGGATAATGGGATGATGAGTCTGTTGTCTTTAAATAGGAGTCCTTCGGCTTCACTCAATTCATATCTTACATTCCAGTAGGGTGTAATGCATGTTGGTACTGATTGTCGGTGTTTTGGCCAACCTTGCTTGATTGTCTCTTTTAGAGTTTGAAGGGTTTCATCTTCTTTGGTAGCAGCTTTGAGTTCAGCTATCTTCTCTGATGTCGCCGGGATATTGGTGACTAAACTGTGAACCATGACTTCCATGTCATCATTAAGGTCCAGTTGTTCACCGTCGGTCTTGAGATAGGCTCTAGAGAGAGTGTCAGCTATGAACATGTATTTTCCAGGAACATATTTCACTGTTACTTGATATTTCTGTAGTCTTATTAAGAGGCGTTGAATCCGGGGTGGAGCTTGCCATAGTGGCTTAGCCATTATTGCTTCCAGTGGTTTGTGCTCGCTTTCTAATATGATCTCTCGCCCATAAACATATTGGTGGAAGCGTTCGCATGCAAATACTATGGCGAGAAGTTCTTTCTCGACTTGTGCATACTGTGGTTCTGCATTATTAAGAGATCTAGATGCATAGATGACAGGGTGTTCGTTTTGAATCAGGCAAGCTCCAAGGCCCCCTTGTGATGCATCGACTTGTAGAATTATTGCCTGGTCGTTGTCAAAGAACTTAAGGACAGGGCTGATGGTTAGTGCTTCCTTTATCTTGGTAACAGCTTCATCATGTTCTGCGAGCCAGATCCATGCAATATCTTTCTTAAGCAATGATCTTAATGGGGCTGTAATTTCAGACATATTGGGTATGTATTGTGACAGGAAATTGACCATACATAGTAAGCGTTGTAGATCTTGCTTGTTCTGTGGTTTGGGCATCTCTAGGATTGCATTGATTTTTCTGGATCTGGGTGGAACCCTTTGGCGTTTATAATGTTGCCCAGTTATTTTACTTCTTTGACGCGTAGTTGAATTTTCTCTTTGTTGAACTTGATGTTTCGATCTCTGGCACGATCGAGGACTTTGATGAGGGTTTTGTCATGTTCTTCTTTGTCTTTAGCAGCGATGATGATGTCGTCATAGACTGCAAGTACACCAGGGATATCTGAAAAATTATTCATCAACCATTTTCTGCGCGACGTCAGATGCTGAACAGATTCCAAATAGCATCCGGTTAAATTTATATCTCCCAAATGGAGTGTTGAATGTGCAAAGGTAAGAAGATTCTTCGTCAAGTTTCTTGTGCCAGTAGCAGCTTGTCATGTCAATTACAGTGAACAACTCAGTGCCATTGAGTTTATTTGAGATTTCTTCGGCTGACGGTGGGTTGTAGTACTCTCTTTTGATGGCTTGATTTAGATGTTTGGGATCTAGGCACAGTCGTAGCAGTCCATTTCTTTTTTCTACTATGACCAGGCTGTTTACCCAGTCTGTAGCTCGGTCAACTTTGCTGATAATTCCTGTCTCCGTGAGATTTTCTAGTGTTGATTTCAAGCGTGGCATTAAACTCAGTGGGACTTTTCTTGATGGATGAATTGTAGGTTTAGCATCACTTTTAATTTCGATGTGGTATTGACCATTGACGAGGACAATACCTTTGAAAACATCTTGATACTCTACGAAAATGTTTTGTTCGGCTTGGTGAATTTCACAGACATCATTTATGCTAATGAGGTCGAGGTCACGGCATGTTTGTAGACCAATCAGTGGCTTCGAGTTGTCGATTTCAACGACGTAGAATTCGCTATGAATTTTCTTGTTGTTGTGTTCGATGTTCTTGTAGCATTTACCACGAATTCGTACTTGGGTTCCTCCGTAGGCCTTTATTTTGGTGTTTGTCTGGTGAAGAGTTGGTTTGTCGTTTAGTGAAGTGAACACGTTGAGTGGCATTATATTACACTGAGCGCCAGTGTCGATTTTGAAGCTGATGACTTTGTTGTTTACTTTAATGCCAGTGAGTATTTCGTTTCCGTTAGGCTTGTTTAATTCACCGAGGAAAATTTCGTCGTAGTTTTCAACACCGTCTTGAGTTTCTTGAGGGGTTTCTTGAGTGATTTCGTGGAGTTTATGTCTGGAAGAGTTAGCGAAGCACATTTTGGCGTAGTGGTTTTTGCCTTGACACATAGAGCACTTTTGGCCGTAAGCTGGACATTGGTTAATCAGGTGATGTGTACCACAACGTCTACAAGGTTTTCCTTTTTGTTGAGGGCTTCACTTTTGGTAGCTAGCTCTCGTAGTTTGGATGGAAGCTGCTTCGAGTGGTTGTGTTGCTAGGTTTTTGACTTGTGCGTGGCTCGTCTCGGCTGCTCGGACGGTGTTGATGGCTTTGTCGAGGGTTAGAGTATTATCTCGTAGGAGTCGCTCTCTTACGCAATTATTGTCGATTCCACATACGATTCGATCCCTTATCAGACTGTTTTTCAGCTCTCCGAACTCGCAGGTTTTTGCTTTATTTCGTAGGTCCACGAGGAAGACGTCAAGAGGTCCGCCATTTTGTGAGCATGAGTTGAACTTGTACCTTTCGTATGTGACATTTTTCTTAGGGGAGCAGTGTTCTTCGAATTTTTCGATAAGTGGGTCGATTTTACCTTCTTCTTCTTCGGTGAATGTGAATGTATCGTAAATCTCGAGGGTGTCTTCGCCAATCATGTGGAGAAAGATTGCACACTGCGTGTCTTGATCTTTTGAAATGGCACCGCTTGCTTTCGAGTAAAGGTCCCATCTTTGTCGCCATTTCCGCCATCTTTCTGCGGCGTTTTCATCTAAGATGAGAGGCTCTAGAAGTTTTAAGTTGTCCATGATAAATTATTTTCTGACACCATGTAGTAAAGTGATACAAAAGCACGAGAGCTGTCGCGTAAACTTGTTTATTGAACTGGCAACTAACTCCTACAAGCTTCGGGGTGTCCCATAAGGGGCAACTATCATTACAAGCTGGGTATGAAAAGACGAAAGAGAATTAGATAAAATTCCTCATTATCTTTCTTTTTGAATGCATTCGACTCATGCAAAATGCAGCGTATAAAACTGACTTTAGTTTGTACAACGTCGTGTTGATTATATGAGTCTTAAGCTCTCTTCAACTCTTTGATATTATTCGCATGACCAGATTTATATTCCGCTTCACATTCGTCCATTTTACATTTATACCATTCTTCTGCGATTGCGATCTTTCCATTCTGTTTTTTTGACAGCACAAACAGATATAAACTGAGAACATTCTCAAAGTCTTGGATTTCGTTTGTTCCAAAAGTTCCGTCGGAAATGTTAACCTCTCCAGTTCTTTCATTCTTGATCAAGTTCAAACTGTGGCTGGTCTTCTTTGTGACACATCTCAAAATTGCTGCTTTATTCTTTGAAGATATTAACTTCTCCTTTGCTTTTTCTAACACATCCGTCTTGTTGCCATCCGTACAGAAATCAGAGAATATTGGTTCCAGGAAACCTTCTTCTTCATATTTACAAACAACGTACGGACATTTCAAAAGATCATCATTTTCGTCAAGTTTTTTCAACATTTTCACTAAGTCCTCAAATGATACCTGACTTGAACCACGGTACATTACAGTAATCTCCTCCATAATTTTTTTTATCGTTAAAGACTTTATAAATTTTTGCGATGTCCTTGTAGGGCACATATTTGTTCCTTCCTCTTTCAGCAAAGTCATCATTGCATTGCTATCACATGGGGCGTGATTACATGCAAGGACTCCTACTGGATCGAGTCGGGAGACCTAAAACATATTATATACTTTAGGTAAAAAAGTATCAACTACTTTAAAACCAAGAGTATGAAAGCGGACTTTAATCTTGTAAATGTTTTTGTTCAGTTTAAGTACTTTGAATCTCCTTCACATAGAGACTATTATTGAATGAGTTTTATTTGATAATTATTTGATAATTTGAAAATTTGAGGTAATTATTTGATAATTTGAAAAGCAAATTCACAATTACATGCATTAGCTAAGCTACAATAATTACAGAGAAAATTGCCATGATAAAATCTATAAACGAGATAATTGATTGAGATTATTGCGATTATTTGAATATTTCACCAAAGGATTTTCATTCCTAAAATGCCTGTGGCATACAGCAATGCCAATATTAGATACATCTACTGAAACTAGTTACGTTTTAAGAGAATTTACAGAAAATTGAGATAAGCTCCGTTTGTTTGTCAGAATCAAGAAGAAAAAAAAGACGTGTGTAGTTGTGTAAAATTAAGATTTAGTATAAAATAAAACGAAAATCATCAATAATGACAGCTTGCGATGATGAATATCAAGTGATAAATGATATTGATAGCATGAAGTTGTTACCACAACATTTACCTTGTAAGCACCAAGCCGTTTCTTTTTCTTGTTTTTCCAAGAAGATATTTTTGACTGCAAAGATGACTTTGTGCTCTGAAATAAAAAACAAGGTGGACTTAGTAATTCCTCGACAACTGGCAAGGTTTTTTTCAAGGAAAACACGTGAAAAACACTAGTAAACAGACCGATAGCTTACATAATTTATTAAACTAATGTGGTTGCTGCTCAATCAGTTTCTTGAATGTGTTTTCACATTCTCAAGCCCTGCTTTTGTGTGCTAGTTAATTTCTTTAGTGACAGTCAAAGATTAGATCAGAATAATAAAGTAATTTAAATTGAAACACGAAACTGTGGTAGCAGAACAGATTTTTAAATATCTTTCGTGGAACAATACTTTGAAGAACACAATGTTTACCATTTCTAAGCGTCTTGCTTTCGAAAGGGGGTTACTGACACTTGAATTCGAGCTCAAATTGTTCACTGGAGGTTCCTTATCCCTCACATTAACTATGTCACCACCACCTAACTGATCCACCACATGATCCTTTTAAGAAATATTAACGTAGCTAATGTTTGAACTGCTGACAATTTTCCTCAAAAAAAGTCATTGTAAAAACAAACTACATGAAAAACAACTACAATACCTTAGGTGTCACATCTATCGTTGATTTGCTTTTTGCTGATTTATCGTCTACTTGACTTTTTACATCTGGGTCCAGACACTAATAAAAATATGTTACAAATATTCTGCAGTTACGGCATTGTGACTTTTCTAGCTAAATTAGTGCTGACGTGTTCATTTGACATTTTTATGTTAAATGATGATTTGAAGATACTTACCGAATAGGCTGTTTTGTATGAGGTATCTTCGCACGACACTGTCTAAAAAACGAAATCTTTGTAACATCTTAGATTGTATAATTTATAATTTAGTTGCTATAACTTAAAAATTCTTGCACAATTGTATTCTGCCCCAAAAAAGTGTAAAATACCGTATCGTCAATTGCTCCATCGTTTTCGTGCCGTCTTATGCCGTCTTGCACACCTGACAGCTACAAACAACAAATGAAAACCATTGATAAAGTATTCACTCGTATCCATACATTTGAACTTTAATTGGATGTTTAAAAGCTATAAAACTAGGGCTTTAGTGGTGAAATATAGTTCAAATATCCCGTACACAAAATACTCCTTTAAGCATTTGCCATGAGTCTCAATATGAACAAAGCATTAACATTGAAATAGTGCAAATTTTAAACTTTTTTCCTGAATAAAAGAAACGCTGATGGTAATCGACATGCTGAAATATTGCAATATTGCATTAAAAATTTTTCAGTGAAAATTGTTTTCATACACTGTACACAATGGACAAAAAGGCTTAATGCCAATTTACAAAATGTAAAAAGGCAAATCAAGGGGATATTTCTTTGGCAGCTTGATGAAACTGTCATTGTTATACCCTTAGGTAAACACAAAATGCTAAGATCTTACGATCTCATGCGCATAATTAAAAAAATCATGATAAAAAAGATAAAAAATTATAAAAATTTTCTTCTTGTCGTGATTTTGCATTACTTTCTTTATATTGAATTTTAGTATAATATATCACCATGTCATAAAAATAGTTTTGTTGTACATAATTTCGTAAATCTAAACGGTAAATTTTTTGCATTACTTTCTTTAAACTATGCCCACAAAATACATTCTGCATTGCTCTAAAACGCTGAAAATGGCATTTCCAAGGCTCTGAAATTCAAACTTTCTCAGTTTAATTGTTACCCAACTGATTTCATCTAACCATATTTGCACTGTCCGAAAAACGTCATTCACAAGGCAATGCTCAATTAAAAAAAAACTTTTGTTCCGTCATAATAATGAATAAAATGATAAACATACCTTTTCGCTTGCACTTTCTTCGTTTGCAAGCCCATACTTCGAGTTAATACCCATTTTTTCCTGCTACAATGAACAAATAATCAAGAATGTTAAAATATCTGTACATATAATGATAACCTTTAATGACAAGAGTCACGACACTCAGGTTTTTCGTTGAAAACAAACTCTTTCACAAAAAGCTGACTGATAATAAGGAAGTTTCAGGTCAAGCTGAAACATGTACATGGGTAAACGAGGGAGGGTTTCCATGGTAGTTGGATCAAACAGTGATCTGCCTACCTTTATCGTAAACAATATATTTGCAATCGCGCTCATACATACAACTTTTAAACTGTGAACCTTTTCCTACCGAAATAATCATACTCTTTTAATGCACCTCCGAGACGTCCAAGAGTCCTATTCCGCTTATTGCTTTTTGGGTGAGAAATGTTTATCTATCATTGTTTCTGGATATCCATTCTCACGACTCTACTAATCTGGATGATCCACATCCATAAACATGTAGCGATAACCCCAAGCTCAAACCATTTACAGTAATATTTTAACATACTTTGTGGCTTGGTCCATCGTGTTCATTGATAGAGCTTTCTCCTGCGATCTCCTTTTGCGACTACAACAAACAAAAAACAAAGCAATGACAAAATGAGCGTTTGTATACAATAATGATATTCATACGAATATTGGGTATGAAACCTATATCTGACTGATATTGGAAGAACGACGAATTTGAGCATTTGAAATGGTGTACAATTAAACTTTTTTTCCAAATGAAATTTATGCTGATAAATCGGCAGGCTAAATATTATACACAACTGCTCTTGGATTAAAAGTTCGAGATTCAAATGCTGTAAATACATCTTAATTTCTCTCATTCGTCAAATTCTACTTTACTTATTGAATATCGATCTTTTCATTGACTCTGTTTGACTATTACCCATCTGACTTCATCTAACCTCATGAGCACTGTCTGGAAAACCTCGCATACGAGGAATGGCAAATATAAAAATACTTTATCATTTGTTTTACTTTTTCATGGGCCATAAGTAAACAATGATTTTCGTAGAAAATATTAACGCAATGTTTGCAATCACAATTTATGCAGTCAATTTATAAATAAATTCATCATAAAGTTTTTACCAAAGCCTTTATCTGGTTTGCGTTTGAACTTGTGTCCAAACCGTTGACTCCTTCTTTAATTAAGGATTTAGCATTCTCATACTTTGAAACAGCAGAATCATCTACGTAAGATTCTTCACCATTCAACCCACTGACCTACAAGTAATCAAAGAGTCATGTAGAATATATTAACTATAAAATTGAGCTGCTGACATTTTTTTATAAAATTATGCATTATGCAACAAGAATGAAAAACATTACAATAAATCATTTGTCTTGAGATTGATGAAGAAAAACCTTATAAATTCCACCATAAATATTTATACTCTGTCTTTGCAATTGAATATCTATTTCTTAGAATTTTCTGAACCCAACTTACATTTACAATTAAAATAATTCTCTAGATATTGTAAACTGCTGCCATTAAGAGTGTTGATCTCGGGTTTTTTAAGTGAAACTGTTTGGATTCTTTTTTGGGAATTTATTTTGATTAGTAATTTTCGGGATTTTTTATTATAAATAGGGGAATTAAAATTTAAGGAAGTGCTTTTTGTGAAATTTTTTTCGATTTATAAGCGATTGTGCCACACGATATAAAGATAAACTACGCAGCCTAACCAGTTAGCTGTACATCTCAACTGGTAAAAGGCTGTGGCTTGTACATAGGACCAAAATTTCAATGAAAGAAGTGACAATGTGTGTATTGAGTGTAGTGATTTAATATTTGCTTCAAGGAGGCTGGGACTTTAGGAATTTGAGATCTTTTAAGCTTTAGGATTTGAATTAAATTACATTGGGGAGTATAGTTCATGCAATGTTTATAGCTTTCACCAATCAAAATCTCATCAACTACATGCTGCACATTGTCCTTTACAATAAACTAACTTTTCTCAGCTATCGTGTACTGATGTCTACTTTCTTGGGGATTTTGATAAATGTCATGTGAAATTAGAACACCATACACAATTATATGCAAAAATAAGTTGACATACTGTTGGATCTTGTAGTTCTCCAATTTCTTTTGGTGTTTGCTGTTGTAATGTTTCTTGCCCTTGTGGCCGCTATATACAATAAACAAATATTGAATGAAACAGTTTCCTACACACCTTTTATGTGAAAGGAAATTTATAGGTTTGGTCATTCAAATTAAAACTCATGAAAATAAAAAATAACTACACAAGGATGAAATTTGGCACTGTACATAGGACCAAAATTTCAATGAAAGAAGTGACAATGTGTGTATTGAGTGTAGTGATTTAATATTTGCTTCAAGGAGGCTGGGACTTTAGGAATTTGAGATCTTTTAAGCTTTAGGATTTGAATTAAATTACATTGGGGAGTATAGTTCATGCAATGTTTATAGCTTTCACCAATCAAAATCTCATCAACTACATGCTGCACATTGTCCTTTACAATAAACTAACTTTTCTCAGCTATCGTGTACTGATGTCTACTTTCTTGGGGATTTTGATAAATGTCATGTGAAATTAGAACACCATACACAATTATATGCAAAAATAAGTTGACATACTGTTGGATCTTGTAGTTCTCCAATTTCTTTTGGTGTTTGCTGTTGTAATGTTTCTTGCCCTTGTGGCCGCTATATACAATAAACAAATATTGAATGAAACAGTTTCCTACACACCTTTTATGTGAAAGGAAATTTATAGGTTTGGTCATTCAAATTAAAACTCATGAAAATAAAAAATAACTACACAAGGATGAAATTTGGCACTGAACAGGAATTTTGTGAACGATGGGATATGGGACAGAAAAAATCACCTTTTTGACTCGAACACGTTTGTCGGGCACATTTCGATCTTTATCCCTATATTCCTTTAGTTCTTCTTTCAAGCTCCTTATTTCATCCTCTTTTCCGCTGAGTTGCAACTTCAATGTCCGTATCTGATCTTCATGTTTTTTGTGAGAAGCGATGCAGAAACTATTTTTGCATTCATTGTGACTGGATATCTTACTTGTATCACAATGGATTAAATTTTCCTAAAAAAGGACATTTATTAATGTTTTCACTGGTCACTTATTTTGTCCTATAAATAGTATTGAGACACAAGTCTATTATATTCGTAGTGACATTGTCTTTGTCCATTCAGGGTTGAATTTGAGAGTTGCCATTTTAAGTAATGGATCTACATGGAAAAACTGTCCGGACGCGACTTCAATTATTTAAAAAAAATAAAATGTTGCGAGCCTTATATATTTGTTAGGTATTACTCGGGGCACTATAAAAACAATAGTTTCTCCATGTATGGCAGGATTTTCTCTAAAAGATCTCAAATCAAGCAAGTGAAAATGCCCTCTTCGAACAATAGTGGGATGATTTTGAAGCCTCACTTAGGGCCTGTTTATATGAGCTTGGCTGGGCCACTTTACCGGGCTAGCCTGGCAGTTGCGAGATCTCGCCTCTTTTAGTATTTACATATAATTTCAAATTTGATTCATATGAGAGGCAGGCTGGCCCGTAATGCTGGGATATCGCTTAAGCGAAGCGGGATCTCATATTAAACGGGCTCATGTGAATGCACTTGGCGAGCTATCCCAGCATGCCGGGTGAAACATTGCACTAGTGCGCATGCTCATTAAATTCAGTTCGATGCAAAATACAGGACAAGCAAATTGACAACTTTCGGTGAACCATAGAATAATGCATAACATTAATGAATTTCTTTCAGCTTATAAAAGTGAAATATTGGGATTTGGACTTTAAGAACACACTGGAGAATTTACAGGTTATTATCGTTATACCGGACATATTTTTCTTCGGGCTACCGAATGAAAGCCCGAGTTTGAAATTCGGATTATCCTATATATCGTGAAAAACACAAATCTGGCATGACTGATCCGAAGTCGTTGAACTAACCTAATTCCTTCTAGGATCGTTTCACGCGCGAGTGTCACTTATGGCAATTATTATTATGAAACATGATTTACTTGCATGTCAACAATATGTTGCCACATTTGAAATCATTATAATACACAAATATAACCAAATACTGTTCTCGAGTAGCTCGAGTGAATGCCTGATAGGTGTCTTGTTTTGTGAGAAATATAACCTACGACTGACAGGTCATTCTGTGAAAATAAATTTGTGTATATATTTACTAACGATCATTTACATAATGCACTTGGGTTTTATAACATAATAATGTACGAGCATACTTTGTTATATGTACAAGATCTTTCGATACAAAAAACAAATAACTAAACAATGATAAAATATATATGTGTATTTTAATGATATTCATTGTGGAGAGAAAGGAATTCTTTAAAAATACACTGACTGAAATTTAACAGTGACGAATATGGGCCACTTTCTTGATTATAAAAGAAGCATAACCTTTGAAATGGTATAAAACGTACGCATTAATGCGTAAAAAAGAAAAAGGATCAAGCTCATACTGGTAATAATACATTGTTTTTAAACATAATATGTCATGGCGGAGTAAAATAAAATTTTTTCTCTATAGTACTGTCAAGAAGAGTACTAAAACCCTTTAACAGCCTAAAATTGGAAAAAAAAAACAGAAAATTGATTTGGAGTTGCATAACCTATAACTATACTATATGCTTTTCTTAAAAATATATGTTTGTTGTCCTGGTGCATCTTCTTGCAAAAATAGTCGTACAATGCTACTGCTGATTTATTTTATCTTCCCCAACAATTCATCAAGCTTTTGTTTATTCTCAACTTTTTATGTATACCTCAAAATCGTCCAAATCTGGTAAAGCGTTCTTTTTAGAACAATTTGAAAAATGGTCATCTTGCGTCTCGGCCATGATGATCTGACATTGAAAATAAATTTCACGTTAATCTTTCAGGACAATGCCTACATGCTGCTCATTTCATTGAGAAGCAGCCTTTCAAGTGAAATGTTTGACAACATGTAAACAAATGAAGATTTTACCACTTTAGATTTTGCTTTCAACACTTCGTAGATCTTTTCAACTATTGAATAAATTTCAAGCTCTGCAACTGAAAAGAGAAAAAATAAAGAAAATCAAAAAATTTTGTCGCAAAGAAACTTCTAAATATCCTTAGTTCAAGTTTAAACATCAAAATAAATTATAAAGACCTATGATATGGAACACGTAGAGAATGTATTCTATTGCATGGAGTATAAGCAGTACATCATAGTGAACAAACGTACCATTACGTCACTATGTCTTGATTATTATGCGGGGTTTTATTTAATTTGAAAAGGCATTCTTATATGATTTTTTTTTTAATAGAAGAATTTTCAAGATTTTTGGTACAAGGAACAACTTTTTTGGGCGAGCAGCCTCCTAACCCACCGTCAAATTTGTGGAGATGTCAATTTTTCGGGCATGTCAATTTATCTATTTAATCTCGTGCAGTTAATTTTATGAAAGTTTTTAATCCAAACCAGCGCAATTTATACAATAAAAGAGTGAATTGAAATGCACGTAAATCTAATCTAACGAAACTTATGCTATAAAAGTTTGGATTGTGAATCTAATCTATGGAAGGAATGCAAATAATGGAAAACTGATTTTAGAAGGAGAAACGCTCAGAAAATGATTTGCGAATTCGTAAATCGTAGGAGCGAAGGCTTACAGTTACAGTATCCAAATTTTTCAATACTTGGTGTAAAAATCGACATTTTGTAAATATCGACAAGTATCGATCCTTGGTATCGGGTATCTTACAAATGAGGGTGATTTGGGAAGCTTGGCATAGTAATTTTCTAGTGATTGATAGTAGTAGATAGTAAGTGATTGCAATCTAATATTTAGCGGTTTGATATTATGATATATTGCAAAGACTGATATTTTAAAGGACCAAGTCAGTGTTAGCTACATTTTACACAGCATGCACATGTTGGTATAAAAAAGATCTAGCCACTTGCCACAGGGACAGCGGAAGCAAGAGACAAAGCAGATAGGACAAGCTTAACTTGAATTTGCAATCTCAAAAAACTGCAATTATGATCTTCACATGGTATGTTGCCTCCAATAATTTCATCCGCTGAGTTAACCATGCGAATGACCTTTAATATGTTCTGACCGAATGACGTTCAAAAAAAGGTTGCATAGTCCAAAATACGTAAATAAAAATTAACTGACAAGTTCCTATGCACATAAAATTTGGAACAATTCTCTCCATTTCGAAAATAAGAAATGCTGCCTATAAAACTGTGCCTGAGAAAAAAAGCCAATCTTTGGCTTCAAGTGTTACGTTGCTGTATTCATTTGGTAAAGACTTCAAACTAAACTACACATCTCGTGTTCCACTGAAAATACGACTCTCAAATATCGATCAATGCCAACCTAATACTATCGTCCTCTAGCTCTTTCGATGTAGTTTAACCAGCATTGGAGAACAACGACCCTTCTTCTCCTATGTAGGTAAATAATTTGTCAAAACTTACTAGCCGAAGGTTTGTCTCAGAACTTAGTTTTCTGAGTGGTTGTCACTACTACGAGTTAATTCCTGTAATGCAAACCCCCTGCCAATTCCCAACTCATGAACACTCATTTATTTACGATGTGATGATAATTACTTTGCTTATCTTCGTGGGGGGTCTAAAACTAAACAATAATGGCAGGCACAGTGACACACTCTTAATGTAAAATGTACATTACAGAAATAGCCTTTTTTGATTTTTTTAAACATCCAGTCAATTATTTGACGTCGTCATGATATTTCAAATATCTACGTACGACAGTGTTTATGTATGTCGAGGATAGTCACCGTCTGAACGACATAGTCGACATTAAAGAATCAAGTGCACGCTTGAATTGAATTGAAACCGATTTAAGCGTCTGTTGATTAACAGCTGGGCAGCAGTCATGATTATAATAAAAAAAGTTTCACTTGGCAAAGATTTTGAAAATTCTTGTATCTACCAGCAAGCAAAGTTCAGAAAGGTGATAATTTTTACCATAAATCATAAATCTCTGTTTCAGTGTTTTGTTTGCAAATGTGTGTACAGGACTGCAAGTGTTTTATCGTATGCTCATCTATGCTTAAGAAATACAAAATTTTCCACACCCCACAGCGCATGTAATGAAAAAAGACAATAAATGTAGTTTGGATGTGATACGACAGTGAAAAAATTCAAAGAAGAATATAAATATATATATATATATATATATATTGTTATTGCTACTGGCTCATAAGTCATTGATTATTAGATAAGTAGCTCACCCAGATTAAGAATTTCTAGTTTCTGGTGCAACATAACATTGTTGATATTCATTTTAAGTTGAGCTACGCAGCTTTTACACAGACACATAGGTACATAATCCATTTATTCCTCGATTTTCTCATATTTTTTATTCATGTTAAAAGTAATACTATTCAATGTACATAGTGATTAGTTTCAAACAATGGGGGCTCTGGGATGGAGGTGGACAATTAGAATGAACTGGGATAGCGAGAAACTTAAGCTGAACTAAATTTTTGGAAAAGCCTTTTAAAAGAGTTTTCATGCTGGTTGCAAATGTTAAAATAAGAAAAGAAAAGTGATTCTTATCTAATGACGAGGATTCAAACATAGCATAAAATTGCATTGCAAAGTGTATTTACTTCAGAATTTTTTTGCAGTCAAAGAATTTATGGCTAAAATGTAAAAATCACTAGGGCCACAACATTACCAAATGTAAAAATGTATTTGTGGTTAAAGCACTTCTAATTTCAATTTTATTTTTTGTCTTTGAAATCCATTTTTTAATTCAAAATTTTTAGAATAGGCTATTTTGATTTCTTAATTGCATTTTTCTTTCCCTCCAGGTGTTATGAAGATAAAGTATAAACCTATGTATCCAATGCCAGATCCCAAAACACCAAGTCACTACATAAACTCAGTGAACAAAGAAAGTGTGTGTATGTTTAAATCCTCCTTCATCGACATTTATGACAAAATTTTACACTTTGTGTAAAATATAAACTCATAGACAACAGTATTCAGAACGTGACTAATCAAATAATGCTTCACATTGGTGAAGTTGAGCAAAATGCTTTAAATAAACAGCCCAAAGTCCTCAGAAGGATAAGAAAATGCTGCAACCCAGAAAAATAACATCAAACATTACCTCATATTAAAGATAAACATAACATGATGTAGTCATTGTTTTGAAGCTTTATTGATGCTCATTTGATTTTTCCAAATGATTATATAGACAAAGATATTCTGTGGTACTGGTGTCATAAAGTTGAAGGGCAAAGTTGTATGATTAAATTGCTCCATGGGAAATTTAGGAGATCAGAGATTTTCCATTACATGTGGTTTGTCCAGATACAATTCATGGTCTACACAATTTACTGGCATTAAAAGTTTTGCCTGAAATATTTCATGCTTAGATTTCAGTGAATTTCTTTAATTAATTTTCAATTTCAGTCAATGAGCAATTTTGAAGTTGTAAACAAGGCGAATGTGGATTGTAGGTGACAATTACGAAAGGTGTTAATTAGCGGGTAAAGATAGGAATCTTCAAAACTTCTTCAAGTGAATAATTTCTTTTCATAACTTGTCCCCAGCTGTTAATCAATGGACTGACTAAACTTTATCGTTATACAAAAGAATAACACCTGCTAATTTAATTACAACTGTTTTGGCCATTTTAAATCATGCAAAAAATCTCAGAATGTTGGCATCTAGCTCAGCGCCATACACGATTCACTAGACTTACATCTACACAAATATATTTACCTCGTTAATGGATGGTTTTCGTTCAACGTTCAACGAATGGTAGAGCTGAGATAATGGCGTCATTAAAAATCCACTTTAACTAATAATTATATTATTTTGTAACAAAGTACAAGTACTTACTTGAAGTAATGTCCTTGGTGCAGCCGGTGAAATTACTAGTGATTCTTTGGCAATATGGCAAGCCAAACAATAATCGAGATTATTTCTATAATTTTTATCCTGAGCGAAGTTTTCTATGCACTGGTCGAGATTTTATCAACGAACTCTACAACAACTAGAAGGCTAACTCAATATACACGTGCCTAGTCTAGGCTGAAGCCATTTAAAAGCTGATTTGCCGCTTCGCCAGTATCTCGCGTGGACTGTTTTATTTGCGTGACGAATTGTTTTGCAACACTGATCTGATAATAGACTGGGTATAGCTTCTAAAGGTAGCAAAAGTGAAGCCTAATTATATATGCAAAATTCACTTCCGGTTACCACGGATAACATGGATAACATGGATTTTCCAATATTTAAGACCTTTCGCGACTCCTTACTAACCTCAAGTATTAGTCATGGATAAAACAGGTTATGCGAATCGATGTGACATCAAAATGATTCCGATAGCTGTAAAATATCGACGTTAGTGGTGATTTAAAAGTTGTACATGCGAGAATGTATTTTGTCCCATCGTTGCCAATGCAAGATAGTTCACTGCTCGCTTTCCAATTTCTGAGGCAGTTATGATCTAGTATACGTTTCAGTTCTTTAGAAATGAGGTTAGTTACTTTTATTATCATTCTTTCTTTTTGTTGAGAGATTGTTGACATTTTATTTTTGCTGTAACTTCATTTTTTCATGAGCAAAGTACTACTGATGCTTAAACAAGACAAGTCTATTTAGTTTCTTTCGCACTTTATCTTTAGTTTCCATTTCTGTGGTTGTTTTTCCCAAATGGTATAGTCGCACCTTGCTGTAGCATTTAGATATGGTCTTAATTAATGAGTAAATATGATTTTCGTGAACAGTAGTATCCAACATGTGTGCATCGACATCCTTGAATGTGGTCCTCAAATCTATATCATTTACTACAGACAAAGCAATAGCATCAGGAATTCCTTTCCCTTGCGGTAAATTTCCATCTGTAGCTGCCAACATTCTCTGAAAGCACCTCTCTGTTTCATTGCATATTACTATTACACTTGCTGTTGGCCTAAACAAATTACCCCTGTCTTTTAAAGTCAGGAAAGCAGACTCATTTTTGTAGTTTATTGAACCGACTGCTTCATGACAAACAGGACAATTTATTTTCTTTTGCACCATCTGGGCAACATAGCCAGCCATGTACGACATTGCCGCCTTTTTAAATTCAGATACAGTGGAAAAGCTTGGTGCATCACTATAATCTTCATCCTCATCTCTGTTGTGATTTGTCCCTTGTAAATCATACTTTCGGATGAGAGCAGCATCATCAATTGTCGTACTTGATTCTTTGTTTGGCTCGGATCGGCTGGGAACCTGGACAATCAATAATAAATAGGAATTTTGTTTTGTTCTTATTTGTAAAACGAGAGCAATGGACGTTTACGTAGACGTCATAAATAATTATAGCTATTTTTGTATTTTTCTTGTTCCCCTTGTAACAGCTACAATTTACGAAAAACAGGTGAATTAGTAATTGATAGAGATAACTTTATACCTGTGAAACGAGCGAGGTTGTTGCCTTTTTGTCGCAGTCTCTTCGTCAGGTGAGCCATCACTATCACTCCGATTTAACTCAGTTGTTTTATTTTTTTGTCTTTTGTTGCAGCTGAATGCACAACATTGCATCCCTAGTCTACCCATTTTTTGAATCAATCACAGTTACTTTTTTAAATTTTTTAAAGAATTCAGAATCGCAGATGAAAGCAGTAACTTCGTGTATGAAAACAGCACCAGTTTATAATTCCACGCCCTTTTTCCACTGATCTGATCTGATCTATTATCAGATCAGTGCCTTTTTCACACTGGTCTCAAAAATAATGTTCTTATACTCAGAAATAATGTAAATTAAAATCTCATTTTTTCCTCTAAATTTAATTTTCCTCTTCTAAGTGCTAAGCAAATTCCAGAAGTTAGTATGAATGTAATATTAATGCCTTAAATATTTTTCCAAAAACATGAAAATTATTCTTAAGATATGAATGTAGTTAGGGATGGTATGAATATGAATTGCAGTTGACATTAGAATCCTTTTCAGCAATAGTTTGATCATCAGTCTTGACTCTTGTAGTAATAAGAAAGACAAGAGCTTTATTCCACTTGTAAAGTGTGACTTCAACAATCCAACAGTTGACCAATTTATAGCTGTAGACAATAAACTGTTGCTGAGAAGCAGTATTCATGGCTGTAAAGGAATTGGCACAAGACAATGTGAAACTGATATACTGGATACAATTGGACACACTTATAATTATAAACCGTGGACACAGTCATATGTTGCTGTTGATAATTTAAATTACCTTAAGGGACAAACCAAAACCAAGATGATTATAAAGAGGGCCTAAAAATTCATACCTGGCTGGCTACATTACCTTGATGTTTCAAAAGCAGTATACTAAAGTGTCCTAATGTGTGTAGAACACATTTGTTAGATTTTAATGTCAATGAAAATCTTACTTCTTTGAATAATTAAGCGCAAAGTGCGACTATACCATTTGAGAAAAACAACTACAGAAATGGAAACTAAAATAAAGTGCGAAAGAAACTAAATAGACTTGTCTTGTTTAAAGGGGAACTCCACCCAAAAATAATGTTGGTCTTAAAAGTTCCATTTTTATGCAAAGGTTACTATATTTTGAAATTTTTACATCAGCTATTTTATTTTTGACAAAATCGCGTCTTCAAGTGCGCTATTTGAGCTGTTTTGAGGCTTACCAGCGTGGGCACAGAAAGCGTCAGCGGAAATTATTTTGACGTCATATCGTCAAACCGATTTGGAGTTGAGTTTACAACAAAGTAAAATAATAACGAACAGCCTAGCACAAAAACAAAACAATCGCTTATAATGGCTTTTTTTGGAAGAACCTCGGCCTAATTCACCAATCGATAGTGAAATGGAAGACAATCCAACAAACAATATTCGGCCATATCAGTTTGAGCCCGAATGGCCGGCTGATGAACACGAAGAAGCTCACCAGTTTGAGGATAACGAAGAACAGGAATTTTTGTATATTGACGATGAATCTCGGCGCGACAATCTTGAATGGTGGGTAGTAAAATGTTATATTATTCTAGACCATTGTTTCTATCTCAAAAGTACGTTTTCAGTTTTTGAAGTTGACCACGTCCACACACACATAATACTTTAGATTTTAAAGTTTTATTGAAAGATACAATTTTATTGAAGTTTTGACATTTACTTTTCAAGATCCTTTCTTTTAACATATTCAGGTGTCAATGTGGTAACTGCCAAATAATGGATAATAACGAGGAATGTTTATGCTGCAAAGAGATTTCCAATATTTGTGACAAAAATTTAGAGGCAGTAGAAACGAATGAGACCACCGAAGTCCCTTTGTGCATTACACAACATCCTGGTTTTGAGCCTGTTTGTCTTAACAGGTGGGTTTTACAAACAGCTTGGTACCAGTACAAGCAGCAATATGAGGTAGCATATGATGGGCCCGAAGACAAACTGTACCGCCATATTGCATATAGACAGTTGGCAAGATGGTGCTGGGGTGTCTTGGGTAGAGAAGAGAGAGTCATCTTGCCATCATGTGCAGTTACTCGCATTAGAGAAACATTTCCTCCACCTGGCCTTGCAGAGGAATTTCAATTTGAAGGCTTTCACTATGTTGATGAATGAAGTATTTTATTATGATATAGGTATACCCATTACAATTACTTTGTATGTCAATATTAAAGTGGCATAGCCAGCTCATTTATAGGTCATGCTATGCACATTTATTATTATTAATTTATTACAAAAAAACAGATTTACAAAGAAATGATTATAAATGTGGCTTGGCTATTACACTGGTTATAATATAACTATAATTAATTACATGAATAGTTTGTGTAATGAAGTGGTGAAACTAGCTATAGCAAAAGGTTTTGCTATGTTAATATTTAAGAATGAACATTTTTTAAGTAGTACAAAAGTTGTCTTCACTGATTCAACGTCATATTATATGGGTATGGCAAAACCTATTGCCATAGCTAACATCACCACTGACATTTTATGCAAATCTAGACTGATGTTCCTTCACAAGTACTTCTTTCCTGGGTGGACATGATTTAGAAATGTTCTTTGGAAGATTCTCGCCATGATGTAGAAGTTCAATCTCCTCAGTTTTGCATGCATTCACAACCTCCGCAAGTAGTTTATCAATGTACTGGTACTCTTTCTTTTCTTTCATTGCTTTTACAACCCATTGCTTCTGTGTTTTAGCAAAAATCATTTTGTAACGGTCTTGCCCTTTGTTTGTCCCTGACTTAATGACTGCTTTATCATGTTTAATATTGTTGTTGTGATCTAATGCTGCTAACTGAGTGCGGGCTACCATCCCAGGAAATGAAAAATGCTCTCGCTTTGGGCAATATTTCAGTAAATGTGGTTAAGGACAGACTTCCATTTTTCCACCAATTCTTCTGCATTCTTGTTACAACTTGCAGAGCACCACCAAAGATGATTAGAAATCGACTTAATTCAATGGGACAAGTCATCATTTCCCTTAATGTTAGCCTTCTTTGTTAGTTTTTTTGTGACAGATTTAGACAAATGCCACACATCATATTGGTAATCAATATGAGGGTGTTTGTTTTTCATAGCACTGGCAATCGAAACATGTCTATCTGTTGTTATTCGCAGGAACTAGCTTTTCAACTTCAGACAGACATCTTTCAAATGCTTCTTTCTCCATAGCATTAGAAGAACTGACTTCAGTACTTTGCACAACATTAAAAGTTACTATCTTACCAGAGTCAGCCATCATTGTATAAGTACCATACTTGGCATTATGCCCTGGGCTATCACATCGACCATCACCATTCACATTAAGACTACCAGACCTCTTAGCTTCGGCAATAACAGCTGATTTCTCCTCTTTCCAAGCTTTGTCAACAACAGGAAAAAGATACTGCTTTTGAAAGCTGTAAAAACTGGTTTTTCCAATAAATTCGAGATTCATGAAAGATACAAATTGGCTGATTCTTTCATAAGTGTTTCCACTAAATAAAGTTGATGCAGCCAAAAGCAAATTTCCAGCTGGGACATTCCTTATGAGTGGTTGAGATGTCCATGTTGTGTGATGACCATTTATACAAAAAAGATTAAATAATAGCAAACTACCTACAGTGTTTTCTTCACATTCAATTAATACACCTTAATATAGGAAACTACACCTTAATTCTATGCACGAAAGGCTATTTTTACAATGGTTTTATGTAGGATTATTTTCTAACCGTAATGAGTTACACAACCATGTTTATTATTATTCAATGTTTATTAAGGGCAATAGATTGGTTTCACATCAGTGGAAACTGTTGTTAAGGTTGAATTCGGAGGACAAGCAAACGGCATTACGCACAGTTTCCACACAAAGAAACCTTCGTATTTTTTAAAAAATAATATTAATTGACATTCAAGTTCTATATGTAGTGCGGAAACTGTGCGATAATGGCCTTTATGGATGTGAAACCGTTCTATTAAAACAGAATACAAATAACCAGCTCAATACTTGCATGTAAGCTATAAAAGTTGCTTGTGTATATACCTACGAATAAAAAATTCTGACGTTTCGAAAAGAAACATTTTGTGATTAGGAGAAGCATTTTGACGCAAGTTTATTATGACTGTGCAATGACTTTACATAAAGCTTTGAGGAGCAATTGACGATATGACGTCAATACAAGCCGCTGACATATTTCTGCTCCCACGCACCGGATGCCCTAGCTGCAGCATTTCAACTCATTTTTTGTGAAAATATTGAATCAAACAAACAAAAAAATTGCCGCATATTTATTTTTACGGGACAGACAAAGTTTAAGACCAACATTATTTTTGGGTGGAGTTCCCCTTTAAGCATCAGTAGTACTTTGCTCATGAAAAAATGAAGTTACAGCAAAAATAAAATGTCAACAATCTCTCAACATAAAGAACGAATGATAAAAAAAATAACTCACCTCATTTCTAAAGAATTGAAACGTATACTAGATCATAACTGCCTCAGAAATTGGAAAGCGAGCAGTGAACTATCTTGCATTGGCAACGATGGGACAAAATACATTCTCGCATGTACAACTTTTAAATCACCACTAACGTCGATATTTTACAGCTATCGGAATCATTTTGATGTCAAATCGATTCGCATAACCTGTTTTATCCATGACTAATACTTGAGGTTAGTAAGGAGTCGCGAAAGGTCTTAAATATTCGAAAATCCATGTTTGTAAACGTTATCCGCCATACATTTCTATAGTAATTTGTATCTCGCCATGGTAACCGGAAGTGAATTTTGCATATATAATTAGGCTTCACTTTTGCTACCTGTAGAAGCTATATCCAGTCTATTATAAGATCAGTGTTTTGCAAAAACTGCTAACTTGGAAATACAATGCTAGCTTAAATGCTTTATTTTCTTCAAAACCGTTTGCAAAATTTGGTTATTAATGTGTTAAGATGCATTGTGGACGTTCCAAGACATGTTTTGTATACGTAACGCTGTATTATATAAAACATAAACGGGAGAACTTGCTTCGAAATATGAATTTCTTATTTGTCGTCGAAAGACCAAAAATTTAAGATAAAACTGATAACAGGTAGTCTGTGTCTTCGAAGCTGTGCAAAATACACAAAATCCACTTTCAAAGTTAGACTTGCTTTGTAAGAATTTCCCATGCTCTTTTTGTAATGTGTGAAAGGGATGATTTGAAATTTTGAATTGTGGGTGATTGTTAATTCTTGTCATTTACTCCTCCCACTTCTTAAGAACTGGTGGAATATTTGACATGCATTCATATTTGTGTATTGAGCATTTTATCAGCAAGTTCATGCTTATAAATAAATAGCCAAGTGTACACTATGACAAGTATTGCTAATATAACCTGCTCTACATAAATGCCAAAAAGCAACCCTCAGTGGTTTGAACCAGAGAACCATAAAGCAAACAAAGCTATATCATGTATCAAAATTTTATAGTATATCATATTGATCGTGAAATTAGTTTTTTCTTGTCGTACAGATGATGATAAATGTATATGTAATATATTAAATTTTAGGATGTGTGTTTAAAATGTTTGGTCATATTTGTGAAAATATATGATGATTCTATAATATTTGACTAATAATCTTTTTTCATACTTGTATTACATTACAATTTTTTCTTAAGTGTTTCAAAAGTTATGAATATGAAGTGTCAATTGTGTTTTTGTCTTTTTTTTTAACTGGGTATTGACCCTTTTGACGCTTGAGAAGTATGGGTGTTCGGATCCAGATGTTTTCATTCTGTCCTTCAATTTTACATATCCACTTCGCAGCTTCTTCAGCTTTATCTTAATTTGATCAACAGTCCTTTCTGTATGCGACTCTTCTTTCATGATTCTTTGTATATTGTTAAACAATTCTTTATTTGAGCTCATACTATCAATGTTGTTTTGCACAGTTTCCGAGTTATAAGCGTTCAAAAGAGCAACTGTTTCCTCGTTCGTCCATTTAGCACCCGCCATCTCTGTTGTGACGCCGTTCTTTGCGTTCACATTGGTGCCCGTGCCTGAGTACCGTACTCGGGTACTACCTAATTTGGGGGTGCCCAAACCCGGGCACTTCTACTCAGGCACCATCAAAATGTTGTGTTCACATTGGTGCCCGTGCCTGAGCACCGTACCGGAGCACTCAGTCTGAACGCGCTGTAAAATTACCGAAATACAGCGTTTCAGTTGAGTTGCAGAATATCATGTCAATGAAATACGCCGCCTTGTTCCGGAACCTTTAAGCGATGACGGCAATCACGGAATTCACCCCTACCTCACAGCTCGTCAATATTTGCAAAACCATTTTCAGGAACAATAAAAACTATTTAATGAAAGATTATTAGAATGAATTGAGCCTTAAAAACATTCTATTTTATCAACAATCGTCGTAACTGCTTTCATTGTCACATATTCGAAGTCTAAGGATTTTTTAACAGGTGTGCCGTTCTTGCATTTGATGAAGAGAAACACAATGTACACTATAATTTATCTACAAAATAATATTTTACTACATAAATGTATCATATAATGGGTTATTGTGAAGTAAAACTCTTCACACTAAATGCAACCTCGATTGAATCAACTGCATTGATGTTGCTACCAGTAACATACTGGAGAAAAACACTAATAACGTTGTCGTCAAGAGATTTAACAAACCGCTTTAAATGAAAGAAGCATTCCCGTTCGACATCAAAGGCTGGGCTTGAAATCAATAGCTTGCAAACCTTTTTCTGGTTTGGCTTTTTTGCTTCATAAAAACTCGCAAAACTCTCAACAGTTTCAAATTGCTTAAAACGTTTCAGTTGCTTCAGGATCGATGACCATACATTAGCCGCGTATTTTAGACGCTGTAATACTTCTTGATGAGCTAACTCCTCAATAATTTTTGGCATGGAGCTCTTTTTAATCACCCTGCGGCACTTGTAACTTGAAAGCACGTCAGCTACATTTTCGTCCAATGACGGGTCAGGGCATTCAACACTGATACTTCTTTTTAAAGTGTCACTTTCCTCCTTTGATATATACTGATGAAAAGACTCTACTAGACAATCCTTAGGAAGCGCGTCGTCCGAAAAAAGACAGGAAGCAATAAATACACTGGACAAAGTAACAGGAAAATATCCAAAGTTAATAAATCCTGCAACAAGAATACGAGCAATACTTTTCCATTCACTCTGTGGGTAGTCATGACGTATAGCTGGGACTTTTTCGGAAGCACCAGTAGCCAGTGAGTTATAAAACTCGCTCGAAAATATGCTAAGTGTCTCTCGTTTTACACCAGAACCTCTTCCGTTTTCGATAACTCCTGCTTCGTCGATAAATACAATCTCTAAGCAACACGACAAAATACTTTCGTCGTTGAACGCAATAATCATGTCTGCTAACACATTCTGGCGGTTAATGGCGATTTCCTTAACCAAACGATTGTTTTCACGAAGCTGATTACCACTGTATAATTCACCATCTGCATCAATATTTACGTCTCCATCATCTTTCAAATCAAATAATACAGCACATTTTACAATCACAAAAAAATAAAGATTTTTATCAGGCATAAATAACAAGTTTATTTTTATAACACTTTTGGTGAAAGTGAGTGATTGATGGCAGTTTTAAGTTCTTCAAAAATAAGAGCCAGCACGAAAGAGGAGTGTATAAAAGTGATTCAAAACTTTGCCAAACGAGTGCAGGTTTGCTTGCAACGAAATGGTGGACATATGGAACACATCTTGGGAAATCCATAAATTGACTAAAAATTGACAGAAATAGCCGAAACTCTTGTGAATAGTCTTCCATAAACTGAATGATGTGTGGTTGTAATTTGAAATAAATAGCTTTTTAATTAAAGCCATAATTGAAATTTTCATGGGTACGAATCTTTTTGGGTCACCCTGTGTATGTATATATATATATATAAGTTTGAAAATTTGTAATCCAGGCATTTAATATATAAAAGATAAAAGTTTCTCCGGATTTAAAGTGAGTTTTATTGAGCTTTCGACTCGTTGCTTCGAGCCTTCATCAGAATGAAAAATATTTATTTACACGTGCTTTTAGCTTGGAGACGTTTAGAGCGTCTAATTGGATTAGTGGGTGGATTAATGTGATTGGATGGGGTGAAATGCGTTGCCATAGGTTTTGGTGTATTGTTAATATGACTGGTGTTAATAATATTAGAGTGTAGTGTTTTAGTTTTGGTGTTGTTTGTAGTTTTTTTTGTCCTTTTTCATTAGTTTTGAGTATATGATGGGTATGTCGATATGTCTGTTTATTGTGTCGTTGTCTTTACTGTACCAAGCTTCTTTAAATTCGCGTGCGTGTTTAGTCTGTGCGCGTCCGAGTACTTTAGTTTCTGTCCAGTAGAATGTGTAGTTGTTTCCGTGGGTATGTTCTGCCGGTAGTGAGTTCGGATCTCGTCGTTTTATGGCGTTTTTGTGTTCTGTGAGTCTTGTTTCAACTTTCTTAGATGTTTGTCCTATGTATTGCTTTGAACAGTCTTTACATGGTATCATGTAGATCGCGTCAGTTGTATCATGAATTGTTGTTTTGTCTTTATGTTTGGTGAAACATGATTTGAGTTTTTGTGTAGGTTTGTGGGCGATGTTAATATTAAATGGTCGAAGAAGTCTGGCAATCATTTCTGATGTTCCGTTTATGTATGGTAATGTGACGATTTTTTACTGTTTCGTCCGGTTTTTTGTTGCTTTTGTCGGTTTGTGTTTTGTTTTGTAATTTGTATATAGTTTTGTTTATGAAGTTTCTAGGGTAATTGTTTTTAATAAATGTGGAGTATAAGTAGTTGCGTTCTGTTTTTTTTGGCTTCTTCCGTATTACAATGAGTGTTTATCCTGTTGAAAAGTGTTCGAATGCAGCTTATTTTGTGTTGTGTTGGATGATTGCTGTTGAAATCGAGTATTTGGTCTGTGTGGGTGGTTTTGCGGTATACTTCTGTGTTTAGTGTACCGTCATCTGTTCTGGTTAGTAGGTGTCGAGAAAGGTAAGTTGTTTGTCGTGTTCTTCGTCTCAAGTATATATATATATACTTGTGACTAGTATGTAGTCGTATGTTACTCGTATGTAGTCGTATGTCAGTCGTATATATTCGTATGTCAGTCGTTTGTACTTGTATGTACTCGTATGTCACTCGTATGCACTCGTATGTACTCGTGTGGTGTTTTAGTCACGACCATGAAACAGAGACTTTCTCGTGCTGACAAACTTAAAGATGGATTTGAAAATAGCAAGTACCATGGTGAATGGTGATAATAACAATGTAATAGTTCTTAAAAGAACTGTTTAAGCAACACTCGTTGTGCCAATGCTTATTCTGATGAAAACTTTAAAGTTATTAAAAAATGACGCTCGTTATTCCAGCTACGCGTCATGGAGTCGGTATTAATTATATTGACTAATCCTGTCCTTTGCCGACAAAAGGATTACGTGTTTAATCTGTCTCTGTTTTAAGTGTCATCTCTAAAAATAGGGATGACATTGACCTTCTGTAACATTATAAATATAGCATGATTTGGAGGTTCTCATTTAGCAGACGATGACACCTGACGAGTAGTCTGCCGAAATGCATAGTGTCTCTTTCTAGCTGTAAATAACGGTTCATTTGAATTGTTGGGTTAGTGTTTTGGTTAAAACAGTTCTTTTAAGAACTATTACATTGTTATTATCACCAATCACCATGGTATTTGCTATTTTGAAATCCATCTTTAAGTAGATAAATCAGTTGTCTCATCCACATGTATACTTAGTGAACTGCAATCATTTTCAAAAACTTTATCTTCAACGTTCTGATCTTTGCCTCTGGTCTTATTTCTTTAAATTGTTTTGTAAATAATCATAATCTGAATCACTGGTAATGACACTGTATAATAATGTATGTGCAAAAAGTTCCAAAGCTGTACATTGAAGAACACATTACATCACAAGTATTTGGCTAGATTTGTCAGTAGACTTATAACATTGTGAAAGAAAAGACTCAAACGGTCGAACCAAGCAAGTAATTTTTCACAAACTTTAAAATAATTAAATTTCCTCTACAGTCGTTGATGAAGTCCATTGTAAGAGGCATTTGCAAAGTCTAAAACTGCAATATAATATAGGATATAGTCTATGGACCAGCACAATCAATAAAAACAAACTTAGCAAAAGGATGTGCCAATTGAAGCTGAGCTTGAAATGACCAGACAAATTAAATTGAGCATGAGGTAACCCGACATAACTAAGGCATCATACGTTTGTACAAAAAGTATATTTTTGAGGTTTTTAGTATGATTCAATTTATCTTTTACCACTGATGATATATCAGTTGCTTTTTTATCATACTCGGCATCTCCAAATCCAAGCTGCTTTCAAATTATATTTCTTTTTTCATCCATGCAAAAATTATAGTTAATTCATAAATCAGTTGTCTCGTTAATCCGTACACTTAGTAAGTGAATTGAAGACATCTACAAAAGTTTAATCTTGAATGATCTGATTAAGAAAAACAATCAAATCATTTAAATATCTACTAAAATACCAGTAACCCACACCCCTCCCCGCACTTAGCTAGATTATGCAAGCCCAACACTTAAACACCTTTCAAAGACTTAATCCAATCTGACAAAGCTTTGAAGAAGATCTTTATAATTCCTTCTATAAAAATTATCATTTGATTTGTCATTATTAGATTATCTAATCAGATCATAATAATTTTTTAAGATTTCTTTGTATGAATCAACTCTTTACTTTAAGTCTGAATCTTCTTACGTCGAGCTTGTGAAATAAGTCCACAGTTGACGCAAAGCCATAGGTTTACTATGTCTAGCAATCTGGCATGGGTGGATTGGCTCTGGTTTGTTTCTTCGCAAAGGATGCCCTTCATATTTATAAATCAAGCTCTTGCATGACCGATTGAGAGACAACAGTTAATTTATCTAGTATTTCAAAATATATTCAAAGAAGGAATTAAAAGTTATTTTATACGAAATTATTGAGGAAATGAAGGTTAATTATGTGGAGACAACGACGAGGGAGGATGGCCGTCAACTGGAACAGAATTTGCATTACTAAACCAGAGAATATAATAATAGATGAAAACAATGACTCGAAGAGCTCGAACTCGTAATTTATCTTCATAAAGCGCTTTTAAAACTAAGCTTTGAGTTATCAAAAGAAAAAAAGAATATGTTGGAGTTTCAAGCAGATTTTGTAATGACGGCAAACATCTAAAAAACAAAAGCCATATTATCAATAGTTTCCAAAGATGCCCATGAAAATTTATCAGAACAAACTCTGCTCTACTTCATGGGTTCTCTTTGAGGGTAATTGTTTCTTCATAGTATCTGCCCACTGCGTAAAATGAGCAGAATCTGTTTTCGCGTCAGGGAAACTATTTTGCAAACAGATTTACGGTTTCACACACTAACAAGTAAGTAGAAAAGTATGTTGATAATAAAAAAACAAAAACAGGAAAACAACAGTCGGATTTTATCGCTCAGGCTTCAAGTTTAATTGATTTTCAATTTTTGATGAACAAACAAAAAATATATCTCACCTGTGAAAGCGACATGCTCGTTTTTGTGGACACTACGATATCCAAAAGAAATGCCAAAAAAGATATCATGTTTGTTTTTAAAAAATGCTGTATAATTAGCTATAGATATCAGGGGGAGGTCAAGAATATAATTTTTCTGCAAAGCGATCATTTCAGTGGAAATAGGTCCACTAGCCGCCTTTTTTTTGGCGTCAGGTCCCAGTCCACTTAGCTGCTCCAGTTTTTATAGAACTCAATGTCTGAAATGCTTTAAACAAATCCGCTAGTAGTACAGCAATCGTACCGTTCATGCAGAAACTTGAGCTTGAAGCAAGAGCATTCAATGATTGTTTAATATTGAAAGAGGGTTTTTGCTACAAGCTTGAAACTAGGCTTTGCAATGTGTAGACAAACATAACATGTGTACCTTAATTCACAGTTGCAAAGATTGATGGGGAATTGTTTTCAACATTTGGCGGAGTTTTGTGATATGTTCAAGACTTTAAGAGTAAAGCGTGCTGCTAATGAAGTTTGGTCTAAGCTTTCTGGCATAGTACGTGAGCACTTAATAGATCAACCTTATTGTAAAAACTTTCCAGTATGCAATGTTTATACCGCTATCAAAATTGCTATAGATGTGTTGAAGCAGTCAAACAGAATGTGGGGCCCTATGTTATTAAAGGAGCTGTTATTCATAGTTGTTAAGGTAAGACTTGCACTATATCTTTACTATAAAATGAGTATTACCATGTATACTACTCCATTTTTGTTTCTCACATAACCGAAAGTAACTTGTGCACCAAATAAAAGCATAGGCGTTGAAGGCATTATTGTTCAGCCTCAAGCTAAATTTCTAAATTTTGTGCAATGTCTTTTTATCGTAGAACGACGCTTTCCTTGATGAAAAGCAAATCTAACATTATTGTTGTGGATGACCTCTATAAAGGCGACGTTGTATATGACGTTGCAGAAGAGAAAGTTTTGTGAAAAATAACAACAATGATGCTCTGCTTGCCTTGTTGGCCACTTACTTTATATACAATGTACTATATACTATGGGCAAGAATGTCTAGCTTTCTTGACATGACTTAAAAGGGAATTATTCCAGAGAAATGCCTATATTCTGTGAAACGTTTAGTTGGAGTGTTATCAAATGTCTTCAACTAAGGATGAATGCACATGGCTATATAGATTATGTTTTATTTCAATTCTTTTTTGTGAAGTTTAATTTGAGTGAGATGAAAGTATGTGCATGTAAAGTATTTTAATGAAGATGTCAAGCACTTATGTGCTTACGTATATTATACGAACTTGTTTGTTGTAAGCTTTCAGTAATTTCTTTTCTTTCCAGAGCAAGGGGCTGCTTTTTAGACATTGCCGATTTGATGAGATAATGGGGCTAAATTGGCTATTCTTCTTAGAGCTAAATTTCACACTAAAGGGGCAAAATAGCTCGCTATGGGGCTAAATTAGTCATTGTACCTAGGGCTGTTTCAGCTACGTTTTTGGGAAAATTAGCAAAATAAACTTCGCCAAATTTGGCCCCTCTTTAAAGGGCAAAAATTGGCTCTAAATTATAGGGCCGTTCTGGGGTCAATATTTTGGCCCCTTTTGGCCCCTTTACTGTGAAGTTTTCAACTAAACTAAATACAAGTTTTCAACTAGACTAAATACAAGTTTTCAACTAGACTAAATACAAAGATTCAACTAGACTCAATACGAGTTTCCAACTAGACTAAATACGAGCTTTCAACTTGACTAAATATGAGCTTTTAACTATACTAAATACAAAATTTCAACGAGACTAAATACAAGTTTTCAATGAGAATAAATACAAGTAGAGGTTTCTTTGTGTTTATGTTCATATGAATAAAATATAATTGATGATTTGCGATCGCATGCTAAGCCAACTGGTCGAATTGGCTGAGTTATTTTGTAGTTATCATACGAACACACAGAACGGTATTGTTCGCCATTGTTCGCCTATTCATTTAAGTTTGTACAAACGCATCTATTGAAATTTTCGCGATGACTGTCTTTATACTTCTCGTCACATATTTTCGAAGAGATATCTTCCCAATCGATAGTGATGACATATTTTCCATCCTTTTTCCTTTTCTTTAATACGTATATATATAACTCTAGAATATTGCCCTCAGTACTGATGGGCTCTAGGGTACGTTGCTGTAGGTCGATAAGGTGAACCTCTTTACCTGACAATACCATGTTGACAGCATGACTCTCTTTATTTGTCGTATAACAGAGAATACCGCATTTACGTTTCGATTTTTTGAACTTCTTTTTCGCACTCTTCTCTGTACAATCTTTGATGACTTCCCTGCTTAAGTACCCTTTTTTTTCTAGAGTACTTAGCACATGTGGACATCGCACCATGTCCAATCTTTCCAAAGCTCCTTGAATCATTATCATACCATTGTTTGCTGTGTTCTTAATTGCTATAAAGTCTTCTTTTTTATCATAAGAATAACCGTTTATTTTTTCATTTATGAATGTTATTTCATCGTCAACAGTTTCTCCATCCAAAATCTGTTCCAATTTCCGTGGCACCATTTCAGGACACAAATTTTTTCCTTCCAAGAGCAACATCAAACGAAAAGCAACGACGCCGCATGGGGCAAAGTTGCAAAAAAAGACTTTGAAAAAGTCGATCTTGATGACCTAATAATATATTTGATATATTATAGTAACACGGAATTAGCTGAATTTCGATAAAGAAATAATGGTCAGTTGAGTTTAGTTAAAACTGCATGCATTATGCTAAATTATACAATGATTTACTGGTTATTAACTTTAAGCACGCTTTCTCCAATGAATTTTATCCGTCACGTATCCAGAGCAGAGGGAGGCGGGGACAGATCGCTCCCCAAACCTGTCCCCTTCTGAAATATTTCTGGCTAATAGAAAACTATTTTATTAGCATCTCTGACAAGTTTTGTAAATAATATATTTTCATACATTACGTTTAAGGGTTGTTTTCAGGACTGTCGCTTTGATGGGTAGAAAAAACACATCAAGTTGAGTAATGAATGTGATAGACCTCAGTTAAATTACGAAAATTATCATCATAAAGTTTTACACCAAAAAATTTACCTGTTGTTTTTCCCAATTGTTCCAAAAAAAGTTTCCGAAAATAAGGAACTCTTTCTGTTCTGAAAGAAATACCACGTAAAAAGTCACCCAAAATGAGCACGTTTTTTAATGATACCAAATGTTGAGCCAAATAAAATTTTTCATAATTCCAAGCATAGAGATCATTACACAGTTTAATTAAACGACAATTTTTCGACGAGTTCATTCCTACCCAACCTGACAAGCTTACTTTTTCAAACTCCCCTACATTGGCTTCCTTTCACAATACATTGAAATACTGCTGTCATAATTTACATAATTCATAATTTACAAACCATAATTGTAAAATACTTTTGTTATATCATAATGTAAAAATACAATACCTTATCTTTGAAAACTGTTTCGTGCGCAGGCCCTTCTGTCGAATTTTTGTGCGCGTCTTTCAGCTACAATCAACAAATAATCAAGTAAAGATAATATATACATTGCATTATTACAATACCTATGCATATAAACATTAATACATGTGAGACGAAACTAGGTGATAGGTGGGAACTAGGGAAGCTGAAGCCCTCCGCCCCCTTTTTCCAATATCAAAACAAAAAAGATATTTAGATTGAGCTGAAGTTATTGCTTGGAACTGTTTTTTAATTAGATGTTATAGTAGAATTGAAGACTAAGCCACCCCACTTCATAAAATGCTCCGCCGTTACTGAAAAAAACCACCGGTGAACAACACTTTTGCCCCACATTTCGCAGAACCTAGATATTTTTTCACATCAGCATAGTTTCCTAACACGAAGCTCAAACAAGTTACTTTCGGTAGTATTTCTAGTTAGAAAATTTCTTCCTGATGTTGAGCTATAGACTCGGTCGACAAAGAGAAACTACTCAAAATTATTGTCTACAATAATCAAACTTTCCCGCTTGTGAAATGTTTTATTTGATTGGCCATTATGATTACTTCTTTGTTTGACCTACTAATTAGGAGAAATTGATGGTTAAAAAATACATGCGGTTGAGTAATGAATGTGGTAGAAAACAGTTAAAATATGAAAGACTTCGTCACAAAGTTTTATACCAAAAAAATTTACCTGTTGTTGTTTCCCCATGTTCGGAAATCTGTTTCTGATCTTCGATAAATACCCAATTATGCTCTGAAATAAAGACCAAGTAAAAACTCACCCACTATGAGCACTTTTAATGCCAAAAATAACTAAGTAATGATAATATATACATTGTATATATTTACATATATGCATATGAACATCAATAGATGTGAGGCGAAACTAGGTGCAACCTTTTTAAGAAAACCCAATTAACCTAACAGTCATTCAATATGTGTGTTGAATACTAGTCTTTTTCTTCAGTAGAACATGTTTAAACTTTAAAGTAGCTCGAAAGTCTAAATTTTTTTATAATAAATAAAGTGTTCATTTGTAAACAGGAACTTATCACCTAATGTTGCTCAATCCAAACAAAATTATCACACCAAACAATAATTGATCCTCCATACGATTTTTCGATGTGTTTATTAAAAATTAGTAGTAATATTTAGATAGGAAGAATTAAATACAGAAAGGCTGAGGATTTAGCATATTGGGAAAAGTGCTGTTCACATAATACCCTATTGAAAAATGCAAGATGCCTGTCATTCAATCACTTTTGCTATGTATACATATCTAAGTTAAAAAAAAAGCTCCCATTGATTATATGAAATGCTACCAATGATATATGAAATTAAATGAAAACAAATTAAAGAAGATAGAAAAATGAAAATTTTAATATTGATTTTCATAAAAATATACAATGTAAAACATACTGGAAAAAATACTACAATAACTTGTGTGTCTTCGATGACGTTGTGTCAGTAGGGCTGGAAGTGAACTTACTAAAACTGTTGTCTTTATCTGTTGAACAATTTAAGCTTGCCTCAGGGAACTAAAAAATCGCACAAATAATATTCTAAAACACTGCTGCTACTGCATCATGACTTTCTACAAAGTAGCGTTGTGTTGAAGTGCTCCTTTAAACTTTAGTACAACGAATTAAAATGTTTATTGCATTATAAGAAAAAACAAAATCTGAACTATCAGAAAACTTATCACCTTAAGTTGTTTGATCCGCACAAAATTTGTATTATGGGATAATGTTAATAGACTATTGTAGTAAATAAGGTTCAGTGAGGGGAAAACTTAAATCAAATGCAAGCACTTAAGGTAATTTACACATACATGCAGCCAATAGCTTTCCTCAAACGAGAAGTATCAGAATAAAATACACAAAGACTAAGGATTTAGCACATTGGAAAAGTACCCTACACACAAAATGCAAGCTCACTGACATTCAAGCAGTCAACTTCTTTTGCTATGTACATTTGTAATCACCTGCATTAAAATATACACATTTACTTATAATGCACACATATAAACAGTTATTGGATGTACAAGGGTCACGACACGTCACGTTTGGAAAACAAACATATTCACAAAGCGCTTAATGATATTAAAGGAGTCACGAATATTTGTTCAAAAAATGTACATTTTTTCAAAAACAAAAGTCACGTTGATAAAATATTCGACACCGTGAGATATAGGATGAATAAATTGAAAATTTGAGATTACTCACAAGGAGAGGTTTTAGGTCAACGTAAAGCACTTACGTGGGTAAACGAGGAAGGATTTTGGTAGTAGTTGGATCAAACTGTCAATGGCCTACCCTTTTCGAAAACAATATGTTTACAATCGTGCTAATTCATATAACGTTTTACTTTTTTCAACCTTTAATGCCAAATTGATCATACTCTTTTAATGCACCACTAAGATTTTCTTCAATAGTCTACACTTAATTTATATTTGCCTTAGCTATCGCAGACCGACGGTTGTCCACGTGCTTTCACCAATTAACTTACCTCCTCAACGCTTCTATCGAGTAGTTTCTTAGATGTCATCGGCTCAACCTAAAAAGTAATGATAACTGAATTACTGTGAAACATATCTATAATTCTTCTTGAAAATTTATAAAGATTTACCGCCTTATTTGCATTTATTTTGTAATGTTTGTGCTCTGCTTGTTCATTCAAACATTCCTTACTGGAGGAGAGCTACAATTAAGGATCGAGTATTGGTTAATAAATTTCTTTCCCAAAGGAAGAATTATTACAAATTGCATGATGCGTATAAACGCACAAGAAAAGTGATTTTGGCAAACTTTACATTTGCAGTAGTATAGTCACATGTTGTTTCTTTGGTATCTTGAAAACTGTTGAAGATTTTTAAGTCTTAGTCTTGTAGTATACTTGTGATAATATATTTACATGGTTTTTTATATTTGATAAGTTAAGGCAACAGATAGGACATTTTATTTCTACAATCCAAAAACTCATACAAATACCACCTTAGTAAACAGATCAGTGGATAAAAACATATCTAGAATTGTATTAACTGGCTGACTGATAAGCGTGGTGGCTCGACTGGTTCGACCGATAACGGAGTTCAAAAACTCTTATTTAGGCCATTCCATTGGTCAATAGCCAGATCAGTGGACAATCGGGAATAATCTCGAGCGATAAGCGGGGTGGCCGGACAGATAAGAGAGTCAAACTGCTATCGCGTAATTGGTTCGTTTAAATTTTTGTCTTACTGTGATTGGTTTGACCGATTTCGACTGATAGCCAACTGAACTAACGTAGTCAAGCTCACTGTCTGAATTGAATGTTTGCTCGTTTCATAGCAATTTTCTAAAGCATGATAGAAACTAAACTACAATCAGATGGAACTTATGGAAATCTTTTACAAATTCATATATTGACATGAATGCTGCTGTTCTAACTGTGAATTTTTTCAAGAGGGTGAAAATTTTACGGATGAATTGTAAATGCTTGGCAAAGACGATCTCGCGAGCGACATTTCAGTCATTGATGTTCAAAAGCATGCCATCATTGTTTAGAGTTTTCTCAGCAGAAATTTACATCCAAAATCGTACGTAAAGGACAGCAGAAGTGCATGCACGAATGTAAAATATCAAAGTCAATTCATGCGAGTATGTGATGCGATTTATGTCAATGTGGCGTATGGCAAGCAGATTGATGATTCTAAAATTGTTGTTGCCGGATTTTTAGCTATGATTTCTTTAGTGCTTGGGGATTCATGGCCGTTTTATGGCAGCGAAATCCTATATTCTCGCAAATATATTTTGAGATGGGTAAAGGGTTACAATGAACTTGCGTGGTTTGAAGTCTGAGGTTTTCTACATCTATGAACTGTCCCTTGTTGTACCAAATTTCTAACTTAACTCATTACATAGAAGTTTGTATAGGGGTCTCTAGAGGGGTATATTGCTGACAACTGGGTAGAAATTTTTAAAGACAATATCTTTTTTGGAATAGCATTATTGTAAAATCAATTTTACGTTCCTAGACATGCTAATGAGCCATATATTTGGTAAAACATTCAAGTAATGTTCACTGCAGATTTTTTTGAAAAAAACGTAAGTAAAATGTGTTATTTATACGCAAAAACGATGCCCACAAAATACATTTTGTATTGCTCTAAAACGCTGAAAATGGCATTTCCAAGTATCTGAAATTCAAACTTTCGCAGTTTAATTGTTACCCACCTGACTTCATCTAAACATATTTGCACTGCCGGAAAACGTCATTCACAGGGAAATGCTCAATTGAAAAAAACTTTTGCTCCGTCATAATAATGAATAAAATGATAAACATACCTTTTCGCTTACACTTGCTTTGTTTGCAAGCCCATACATCGAGTTAATACCCATGTTTTCCTGCTACAATGAACAAATAATCAGGCAATGTTAAAATATCTATATTAATAGTGATAACCATTAATGACAAGAGTCACGACACTAAGGTTTTTCGTGGAAAACAAACCCTTTCAGAAAGTACTGACTGATAATAAGGAAGTTTCCGGTCAAGCTAAAACTTGTGCATGGGTAAACGAGGGAGGGTTTCCATGGTAGTTGGATCAAACAGTGATTTGCCTATCCTTTTTTTAAAAACAATATATTGCAATCTTTCTGATACATACAAATTTTAACCTGTGAACCTTTTCCTGCCGATTGCACCTCCGAGACTTCCTTTAATCGTCTAAATTTTATTTATCTCATCCAAGAGGCCTATTCCGCTTATTATTTTTTGTGTGAGAAATGTTCATCATCATTTTTTCCGGATATCCATTCTCAGGACTCTACTAATCTGGATAGTCCACACCCATAAACATGTAGGGATACTCCCAGGCTCAAACCATTTACAGTAATATTTTAACATACTTTCTCGCTTCGTCCAACGTGTTCATTGGTAGAGCTTTCTCTTGCAATCTCTATTTGCGGCTACAATAAACAAAAAAACAAAGCAATGACAAAATAAGCATTTGTATACAATAATGATATTTATACGAATATTGGGTATGAAAACTATATCTGACTGATATTGGAAGAGCGACGAACATGAGCCTTTGAAATGGCGTACAATTAAATTTTTTTTCCAAATGAAAGTAGTGCTGATAAATCGGCATGCTGAAATATTATATTCAACTGGTCGGGGATTCAAAATTCGAGATTCAAAAGTTGTAAATACATCTTAATTTCTTTCATTCGTCAAATCCTACTTAACTTTTTGAATATCGATCTTTTCATTAACTCTGTTTGACTATTACCCATCTGACTTCATCTAAGCTCATGAGCACTGTCTAGAAAACCTCGTATACGAGGAATGCCCAATTTAAAAATACTTTTTATTCCATCATAGCAATAAATAAACTTATAAACATACCTTTTCGTTGGAGTTCTCACGCCCATTTTCTTGCTACAATGAACAAATAATTAAGTAATAATTTAATATACAATGTACTGTTACAATATTTGTACAAATGATAACAACCATTGACGATGAATATCTTGTAATAATGTTAATGCCAGTACGTATATGTAGTAAATACACTTAAAAAATTTAAATAACCAAATACTTTATTATTTGTTTTATTTTTTCATGGACCATAAGTGAGCAATGAGTTTCGTAGAAAATATTAACGCAATGTTTGCAATCACAATTCATGCAGTCAATTCATTAATAAGTTCATCATAAAGTTTTTACCAAAGCCTTTATCTGGTTTGCGTTTGAACTTTTGTCCAAACCGTTGACTCCTTCTTTAGTTAAAGATTTAGCATTCTCATACTTTGAAACAGCAGAATCATCTACGTAAGATTCTTCACCATTCAACCCACTGACCTACAAGTAATCAATGATTCATGTTGAATATATATTAACTCAAAAATTGAACTGCTGACATTTTTTTTGTAAAATTATTTTAAAAAAGAATGAAAAACATTACAATGCATCATTTGTCCTGAGACTGAAGAAGTAAAACCTTATCAGTTCCATCATAAACATTCATGCTATGCCTTTGCAAATGAGTTTCTATTTCTTTGAATTTCAAAATCCAATTTGCATCTAAAACTTAAAATAATTCTTTACATGTTTGTAGATGTAGATCGTCCAGCTTAGTATAGTCCTGAGAAGGATTGTTTTTGTTGTCGTTGACTGACATTTCGACAACCTTATTGGTAGTCATATTCAGAGTTAAACGAGGAGTAAACGTCAGGTTAGCCGTATTTGTTATCTGGTTCTTACGTCATCGTATTGTGTGTACAGGAAATGTGTGGGTGTCCATGGGTATTGTCATTGTGGATTAGTGTGAAGTGTAATGTTTTTAGTTGATCATTTGTTTGTATTGTGAATAAGTCGTTTGTAAGGTGCCGGTAGTTGCTGTGATCTGTTCAGTGGGTTTTGTTCCAAATTGGTAAACCAACTGTCTAACGTAAGTCATTGTCTATAGTCAGTGTTGTAAGTAATGCATTTTGCCCAGTCCCAGTCAATGTTGTGATTTGTCAGTCGGTGATGTTTTTGGTAGAAATGTGCCAGTTTTTTACAAACAGTGACGTCAAATTACAAAATGAATTGTCAAATATATTTATGACATTATAGCTACTTTGTTGAAATTGTTTAGCAACCATTATACAATATCATGTCACTGATTGTACTAAATGGTTGATTTTAAAAACTTCATTATCTTGAAAGTCAAAAGAGATATAAATAAACTGTTTTACAGAGTTGTCGTCTGTTGGATGAAAGTATAACACAAAAAGCACAATTTCCTTCTATATGCACTTAGTTGTGGTCAAACTAGTTGAATTTCAAACTCAAACACCTTTGCAACAAATGATATTGTGATGAATTTTTAAAGCAGTGACGTATTCAGAGGGAGGCGGGGTCAGTTCCCTCCATAAACCTGTGCCCTCATGATATATTTCTGGCTAACAGAAAATTATTTTATTAGAATCTCCTGGCAGAAGATTAACTAACTGCTCTTTTTATAAAGGAAGTATAAGAATACACAAATTCTGAGGATTTACCACACTAGAAAAACGGTTCTTCACATAATACCCTATTCATAAAATGCAAGCTCGCTGTCATTTCAGGATTCAATTTCTTTTGCTATGTACATTTGTGATCTCCTGCATGCTTTGAGGCTAAAATTAACATACATAACCAAGCCATGATAAAATATACCCATTTACTTTATTATCCACATATATCAACAGTACTTGGATGTGCAAGAGTCACGACACTAAGGTTTTTCGTGGAAAACAAACCCTTTCACAAAGTACTGACTGATAATAAGGAAGTTTCAGGTCAAGCTAAAACAAGTACATGGGTAAACGAGGGAGGGTTTCCATGGTAGTTAGATCAAACAGTGATTTGCGTACCCTTATCTTAAAAGCAATATATTTGCAATCGTGCTTTTACATATATATTTTAACCTGTGAACCTTTTCCTGCCGAAATAATCATACTCTTTCAATGCACCTCCGAGACGTCCTTTAATCGTCTAAATCTTATTTAGCTCGTCTAAGAGGCCAATCCCAATTATTACTTTTTGGGTGAGAAATGTTTATCCATCATTTTTCCCGGATATTCATTTGAAAAAAAATATCTTTTTCAATGAGTTGAGATCACTTTCAATGAACTCTTCTTATGATAGTCTAAGCGTTTGCTTTATTAAACACCTTACTAAAGAAATCTTTTCTCTGTGTGAAGAAAAAGAGTCAAAGCGTGTGTACAAACCCTTAAGAGTTGCCTTCCGATGAATACTAGTAAAGAATTGACCATTGCATTATAGATTATGTGTTCAATTTATCCCTGTTTTGAACGCAATCTTCTCTTTTAGAGATGACGTACATTCTTTCTTGACATTATAAATATCGTTAGATTTAATTTTTCATTTAGCAGACGTTGACACCTGATCAGAATGTAGTCTGCCAAAATGCATCGTGTCGTTTAGTTTCATAACAGTTCTTTTAGAATTATTAACTTTTTACTTTTGCCATTCACGATGGCATTTGCGATCTTTAAAAGGATTTTCAAATACATGTTTGTGCATAAAGATCGTCCAGGTTAGTAGAGTCCTGAGAAGGTAAACGATCTCCTGAGAAGAACTGTTGTGTTGACTGTTGACTGGCAAGTCAACACATTAGTCCCTCTCAGGACTCTACTAATCTGGATGATCCATATCCAAAAACATGTAGCGATACTCCCAGGCTCAAACCATTTACATTAATATTTTAACATACTTTGTCGCTTGGTCCATCGTGTTCATTAGTAGAGCTTTCTCCTGCGGTCTCCTTTTGCGGCTACAATAAACAAAAGACAAAGCAATGACAAAATAAGCATTTGTATACAATAATGATATTTATACGAATATTGGGTATGAAAACTATATCTGACTGATATTGGAAGAACGACGAACATGAGCCTTTGAAATGGAGTACAATTAAATTTTTTTTCCAAATGAAAGTAGTGCTGATAAATCGACATGCTGAAATATTATACTCAACTGGTCGGGGATAAAAATTTGCGATTCAAAAGTTGTAAATACATCTTAATTTCTTTCATTCGTCAAATCCTACTTAACTTTTTGAATATCAATCTTTTCATTAACTCTGTTTGACTATTACCCATCTGACTTCATCTAAGCTCATGAGCACTGTCTAGAAAATCTCGTATACGAGGAATGCCCAATTTAAAAATACTTTTTATTCCATCATAGCAATAAATAAACTTATAAACATACCTTTTCGTTGGAGTTCTCACGCCCATTTTCTTGCTACAATGAACAAATAATTAAGTAATAATTTAATATACAATGTATTGTTACAATATTTGTACAAATGATAACAGCCATTGACGATGAATATCTTGTAATAATGTTAATGCCAGTACGTATATGTAGTAAATGCACTTAAAAAATTTAAATAACCAAATACTTTATTATTTGTTTTATTTTTTCATGGACCATAAGTGAGCAATGAGTTTCGTAGAAAATATTAACGCAATGTTTGCAATCACAATTCATGCAGTCAATTCATTAATAAGTTCATCATAAAGTTTTTACCAAAGCCTTTATCTGGTTTGCGTTTGAACTTGTGTCCAAACCGTTGACTCCTTCTTTAGTTAAAGATTTAGCATTCTCATACTTTGAAACAGCAGAATCATCTACGTAAGATTCTTCACCATTCATTCCACTGACCTACAAGTAAACAATGATTCATGTAGAATATCAAAAATTGGACTGCTGACATTTTTTTATAAAATTATGCATTTTAAAAAAGAATGAAAAACATTACAATAAATCATTTGTCCTGAGATTGAAGAAGTAAAACCTTATAAATTTCAACAAGAATATTTATACTCTGCCTTTGCAATTGAATATCTATTTCTTTGAATTTTCTGAACCCAATTTACATTTAGAACTTAAAATAATTCTCTAGATATTGTAAACTGCTGCCATTAAGAGAGTCGATCTTGGGTTTTTTAAGTGAAATTGTTTGGATTCTTTTTTTATGAATTTATTTTGATTAGTTATTTTCGGGATTTTTTCTATTATGAATAAGGGAATTGAAATTTACGGATGTGCTTTTTGTGAAATTATTTCGACTTATAAACGATTGTGCCACACGATATAAAGATAAAATACGCTGTCTAACCAGTTAGCTGTACATCTCAACTGGTAGAAGGCTGTGGCTTGTACATAGGACCATATTTTTAATGAAAGAAGTGACAATGTGTGTATTGAGTGTAGTGATTTACTTTTGCTTCAAGGAGACTGGGAATTTAAGGAATTTGAGATCTTTTAAGACTTAGGATTTGAATTAAATTACATTGGGGAGTATAGTTCATGCAATGTTTATAGCTTTCAGTCCTTTCACCAATCAACAACCTCATCAACTACATGCTGCACATTGTCCTTTAAAATAGACTAAATTTTCTCAGCTATCGTGTACTTATGTTTACTTTCTTGGGGATTTTGTTAAATGTCATGTGAAATTAGAACACCATACACAATTCTATGCAAAAATAAATTGACATACTGTTGGATCTTGTAGTTCTCCAATTTCTTTTAGTGCTTGCTGTTGTAATGTTTCTTGCCCCTCTGGCCGCTATATACAATAAACAAACATTGAATGAAACAGTTTCCTACACACCTTTTATGTGAAAGGAAATTTATAAATTAGGTCATCCAAATTAAAACTCATAAAAATAAAAAATAACTATACAAGGATGAAATTTGTTATTGAACAGGAATTTTTTGAACTATGGGATATAAGACCGAGAAAAATCACCTCTTTGACTTGAACACATTTGTCGGGCACATTTCGATCTTTTTCCTCATATTTTTCTAATTTTTCTTTCAATATCCGATTTTCACGGCTGAGTTGCAACAACATCGCTGAGTTTTGTCTGCTGAGTTGCTTCATTGTGCTGAGTTGCAACTCCAATCTCCGTTTATCATCTTCATGTTTTTTTGTGAGAAGCGATGCAGGAACTATTTTTGCATTCATTGTGACTGGATATCTTACTTGTATCACAATGGATTAAATTTTCCTGAAAAAGGACAACTATTAATGTTTCTACATGGAACAACTGTCCGGACGCGACTTCAATGATTTAAAAAAATAAAATGTTAGGAGTATTAAATATTTGTTTAGTGTTACTCGGGGCACTATAAAAACAAATAGTTGTCCATGTATGGCAGGATTTTCTCTAAAAGATTTCAAATGAAGCAAGTGAAAATGCCCTTTTCGAACAATAGTGAGATGATTTTGAAACCCCACTTAGGGCCTGTTTATATGAGCCGCGCTAGCCCGCCTTACCGGGCTAGCCTGCCAGTTGCGAGATCTCGCCTCTATTAGTACTTATATATAATTTCAAATTTGATTCATATGAGAGGCAGGCTGGCCCATAATGCCGGAATCTCGCTTGAGCGAGATCTCATAATAAACGGGCTCATGTGAATGCACTAAACGAGCTATTCCGGCACGCCGGGCCAAACATTGCACTAGTGCGCATGCTCAAAAATTCATTTTGGTGCAAAATACGAGGCACATATAAGGACAACTTTCAGTGAACCATAGAATAATGCATAACATCATTGAGTTTCTTTCAGCTTATAAAAGTAATATGAAATATCGGGGTTTGGACTTTTATCCTGCGTTCGTAATTAATTATTTCTGTACTTGAAGGGCCAGCCGCTTCATATGAATCAAATAATAAACTGGCCCGGCAAAGCGAGCCAGCCCCACTCATATGAACAAGTCCTTAGCGAGTGTGAGTCCTAACATTTAATTAATTTTGACAATCGCAAATGAATATATCAATAGGCCATTGACGTCCAGCAATTGACCAAAACGCACGAGTGTCACTTATGGCACGTATTATTATAAAACATGATTTACTTGCATGTTAACAATATGTTGCCACATTTGAAATCATTATAATACACAAATATAACCAAATACTGTTCTCGAGTAGCCCGAGTAAATGCCTGATAGGTGTCTTGTTTTGTGAGAAATATAACACACGACTGACAGGTCATTCAGTGAAACTTATTTGTGTTTATATTTACTAACCATTATTTACATAATGCACATGGTTTTATAACATAATAATGTATGAGCATACTTTATTGCATGTTCTAGGTTTATTTAGTCTGTACGCGATCTTTCGATACAATAAAAAAATAACTAAGAAATGATAAAATATGTATGTGTATTTTAATGATATTCATTAGGGAGAGAAAGGAATCTATTTAAAAATACACTGACTGAAATTTAACAATGACGAATATGGGCCACTTTCGTAATTACAAAAGAAGCCTTTGAAAATGGTATAAAACGTACGCTTTTATGCGTAAAAAAGAAAAAGGATCAAGCTCATACGGGTAATAATACATTGTTTTTAAACATAATATGCCATGGCGGAGTAAAGTACAATTTTTTCTCCATATTCCTGTCAAGAAGAGTACTAAAACCCTTTAACAGCCTAAAATTGTAAGAAAAACGGAAAATTGATTTGGAGTTGCATAACCTATAACTAAACTATACCCTTTTCTTAAAAATGTGTAATGTTTGTTGTCATGGTTCATCTTCTAGCAAAAATAGTCGTACAATGCTACTGCTGATTTATTTTATCTTCCCCAACAATTCATCAAATTTCTGTTTATTCTCAACTTTTCATGTATACCTCAAAACTGTCCAAGTCTGTATCTTGCGCCTTGGCCATGTAAACATGTAAACAAATTAAGATTTTACCACTTTGATTTTTTTTACTTCGTAGATCTTCCCAACTATATTGAATGAATTTCAAGCCCAGCTGCAAAAAAGAGTAAAAAATAAAGAAAATCAAAAAATTTTGTCGTAAAAAATTCTAAATATCCGTATTTCAACTTCAAACATCGGAATAAATTATAAAGACCTATGATATGGAACACGTAGAGAATGTACTCTATTGCATGGAGTATAAGCAGTACATCATAGTGAACGAACGTACCATTACGTCATTATGTCTGGATTATTATGCGGGGTTTTATTTAATTTGAAAAGGCATTCTTATATGATTTTATTCTTTAATAGAAGAATTTTCAAGATTTTTGGTACAAGGAACAACTTTTATGGGCGAGCAGCCACCTAAACCCCCGTCAAATTTGTTGAGATGTCAATTTTTCGGGCATGTCAATTTGTCCATTTAATCTCGTGCAGTTAATTTTATGAAAATTTTGAATCCAAACAAGTGAAATTTATACTATAAAAGAGTGAATTGAAATGCACATAAATCTAATCTAAAGAAACTTATGCTCTAAAATGGTTGAATTGTGAATCTAATCTATGGAAGGCCTGCAAATAACAGTATCCAATTTTTTCGATACTTCGTGTAAAAATCGACATTTTGTAAATATCGACAAGTATCTATACTTGGTATAGGGTATCTTACAAACGAGGGTGCGAGAAAAGTGCCTTAGATGCTTGTTTTTTGGTAATATTTTGTTGATTTTGGTGATTTGGGAAGCTTGGCATAGTAATTTTCGAGTGATTGATAGCAGTAGATAGTAAGTGATTGCAATCTAAGATTTAGCGGTTTAATATTATGATATATTGCAGAAACTGATATTTTAAAGGACCAAGTCAGTGTTAGCTACATCTTACACAGCATGCATATGTTGGTATAAAAAAGATCTAGCGACTTGCCACAGGGACAGCGGAAGCAAGAGACAAAGCAGACAGGATTAGCTTAACTTGAATTTGCAATCTCAAAAACTGCAATTATGATCTTCACATGGTATGTTGCCTCCAATCATTTTTTCTGCTGAGTTAACCATGCGAATGACCCTTAATATGTTCTGACCGAATGTACGTTCAAAAAAAGCTTGCATAGTCCGAAATAGTAGATAAAAATTAACTGTGAAGTTCCTATGCACATAAAATTTGTAACAATCCTCTCCATTCCGCAAATAGAAAATGCTGCTTATAAAACTGCGCCTGTTAAAAAAGCCAATCCTTTGCTTCAAGTGTTACGTTGTTGTATTCATTTGGTAAAGACTTCAAACCAAACTATACATCTCGAGTTCCACTGAAAATACGACTCTCAAATCTCGATCAATGCCAACCTAATACTATCGTCCTCTAGCTCTTTCGATGTAGCTTTACCAACATTGGAGAACGACCCTTCTTCTCCTATGTTGGTAAATAATTCGTCAAAAAACTTACTAGCCGAAGGTTTGTCTCAAAACTTAGGTTTTTGAGTGGTTGTCACTACTACGAGTTAATTCCTGTACCGCAAACCCCCCTGCCAATTCGCAACTCGAGAACACAAATTTATTTACGGTGTGATGATAATTATTTTGCTTATCTTCGTGGGGGGTATAAAACTAAACAATAATGGCAGGCACAGTGACACACTCTTAGGGCCTGTTTATATGGAGCCGAGTTACCCGGCTGAGCGAGTTACTCGCCTAGCCAGGTAACTCGGCCCTTATATAAAATGAATGCATTTCCCGGTGAATCGTTTATATGACACATCCGAGTAACTCGCCTTGCCGGGTAACTCGGTTTGTGCGAGTTACCCGGCTAGGGGATGAATTTTTCCATATAAACGCATTTGCCGGGTAACTCGGCGAGGCGAGAAAATTGTCTCTGTTGGTACGCATGCGTACTAAGCCTTGTACTTGCAGTATTATAAACAAAACATACATTTCAATTTTATATTCACCCATTCCATTTTTGCAGCGAAACTGTGAGGCTTTTTAAAATCTCGCCGCCTTAACTAGAAGTTAGCATAGCAAAACTTCATTTAAGATTAATAAACGGAAGTGCTAGCCGAGTTACCCGGTGCCATATAAACAGATCACTTTGTCAAACCCGGCTAGGCGAGTAGCTCGCTCAGCCGGGTAACTCGGCTCCATATAAACAGGCCCTTAATCTGAAATGTGCAATACAGAAATAGCCTTTTATGATTTTTTTTAACATTCAGTCAATTATTTGACTGGATGTTATGATATTTAAAATATCTACGTACGACAGTGTTTATGTATGTCGAGGATAGTCATTTTCTGAACGACATAGTCGACATTAAAGAATCAAGTGCACGCTTGAATTGAATTGAAACCGATTAAAGCGTCTGTTGGTTAACAGCTGGGCAGCAGTCATGATTATGACAAAAAAAGTTTCTCTTGGTAGAGATTTTGAAAATTTTTGTATCTACCAGCAAGCAAAGTTCAGAAAGGTGATAATTTTTAAGATAAATCATAAATCTCTGTTTCAGTGTTTTGTTTGCAAATGTGTGTGCAGGACTGCAAGTGTGTTTATCGTATGCTCATCTATGCTTGAGAATACCAAATTTTCCTCATCCCACAGCACATCTAATGAAAAAAGACAATAAATGTAGTTTGGATGTAATAAGACAATGAAAAAATTCAAAGAAGAATATATATATTACATATATATTATTGCTACTGGCTCATAAGTCATTGATTATTAGATAACTAGCTCACCCGGATTAAAAATTTCTAGTTTCTGGTGCAACAAAGCATTGTTGATATTCATTTTAAGTTGAGCTACACAGCTTTTACACAGAAACTTAGGTTCATAATCCATTTATTCCTCGATTTAGTCATATTTTTTATTCATGTTATAGTGATACTATTCAATGTACACTGTGATTAGTTTACATAATGGGGGCTCTGGGATGGAGGTAGACCATTAGAATGAACTGGGATGGCTTGAAACTTAAGTTGAAATAAATTGTTGGAAAAGCCTTTTAAAAGAGTTTTCATGCTGGTTGCAAATGTTAAAATAAGAAAAGAAAAGTGATTCTTATCTAAAGACAAGGATTCAAACATTGCATAAAATTGCATTGCAAAGTGTATTTACTTCAGAATTCTTTTGCAGTCAAAGAATTTATGGGTAAAATGTAAAAATCACTAGGGCCACAACATTACCAAATGTAAAAATGTATTTGTGGTTAAAGCATTTTTAATTTCAATTTTATTTTTTTGCTTTTGAAATCCATTTTTTAATTCCAAATTTTTAGAATAGGCTGTTTTGATTTCTCAATTTCATTTTTTTCTCCCTCCAGGTGTTATGAAGATAAAGTATATACCTACGTATCCAATGCCAGATCCCAAAACACCAAGTCACTACATAAACTCAGTAAAAACAAAGAGAGTGAGTGTATGCTTAAATCCTCCTTCATCGACATTTATGACAAAAATTTACACTTTGTGTAAAACATAAACTCATAGACAACAGTATTCAGAACGTGACTAATCAAATGATGCTTCACATTGGTGAAGTTGAGCAAAATGCTTAAAATAGAAAGCCCAACAGCCTCAGAAGGATAAGAAAATGCTACAACCCAGAAAAATAACATCAAACATTACCTCATATTGAAGATAAACATAACATGATGTAGTCATTGTTTTGAAGCTTTATTGATGCTCATTTGATTTTTCCAAATGATTATATAGACAAAGATATTCTGTGTTACTGGTGTCATAAAGTTGAAAGGCAAAGTTATATGATTAAATTGCTCCATGGGAAATTTAGGGGATCAGACATTTTCCATTACATATGGTTTGTCCAGATACTATTCATGGTATACACAATTTACTGGCATTAAAAGTTTTGCCTGACATATTTCATGCTTAGCTTTAATAAATTTTCAATTTCAGTTAATGAACAATTTTGAAGTTGTAAACAAGGCGATTGTGGATTGTAGATAGCATGTAGAAATAAGATTTTTCAGAGTGAATTGTTTCTCATGGTCTTTAACCCAAAATCGCTAGAGAATGATTTCCGCTTCTTCAAAAGACGAAAATACTTTCTAGTTCATCTAGCTTTGTGAAGTTGTTTGCTGATTAATGAATAAAGTCTTTAACACGCGATCGACAGAATTAGAAATTCATGCGACATTACAACAAACTGGAAACACAAATTGCAAATTGCGCAGCACTAATTCACAGTTCACCTGGGATAAAACGACGATACAAAAAGTAATGGATTATCAAGTACTTACTTCTTTCCTTTAAGTTTCTTTAAGGACAATACTTAAGGGATTTTTTTGACAGTGATGAAAGAAAAACAAACAGTTACTTTCAATAAAGTGATTCTACGAACCATCTCGATGTTAGCATCTATTGCACCAAGCTTATAATATGTATGCGAAAATTTTGATTAGAGCACAACATGGCCTCCAACTTTACAAAAAGCTGCATTAAATTAAAGAAATAAATTATAATAATAATTGTTGACATAATTTCGTAAAAGCACTATTGCTAATGCGCTTTTAATATACACGACGAGTTTTTTTTTAAACCTTGTATCATTTATTATTTCATTCATACTGAAGATGGCATCATGAGATGTCGAAACATGTCTATTCTCAAAAAACTCGTCGTGTATATTAAATGCGCATTAATAATTGCTGAAAAATTGAAGAGTTTCGTGGAATGTAAACATGTCATCTTAAGGTAATTCTTTACTTACTGAAGAAGGCTAAATCTACGAAAAATATTTTAATTGACTTTTTTTCTTACCATCTAACCCATTTGTATCGATTTTTGCTACATTTAGTATTTAAAACTGCGTGAAACTACATTGATTCAAGTTTTGATGAAAAGCTTTAAAAGATGTTTACTATTGTTTGATAAGACTTATGCAAACCGAGGGAGAACTTGAGCGCAGATAAGTACAAGCACGAGACCAAAATACATACACAAAAGATACATCGATATCAAATACATCCAAAAAGACTTTACAGCCAAGTATTTGAAATAAAGCCAGTTTTAAAAATGTTTAAACTCTTTATCACAATCGAGATGATTGGTGTTTATTTCAATTCAGTTCACTTTCATTTCAGTTTAAAAAAAACGACGTGGCTAAAAATCAACTTTTCTCGCAGCTTTCTGTACGCTAAGCGTAATAAATGTCGATATCACCGTAAATCGTCAAAAAAGGCAGACATTAAAACTCAAAAACTTACAGTGATTCTTCTTTTATTTAACAGCAGCATGTGCTGACTATGTTTTTATCGAGAAAAAGGTAGCAATGACGTCTAAATTGTGCCACGCATTTAAGAATAACATAAAGTTTCACACAAAGACTAAAAATCATATAGTTACCCGCGCAATTCGACGTAACAATATTTAGTTACCAGCTTTCTTGCTGCTTATTATATGACAAATAAAATGGCGTTTATATAAACATGGCAGATCGTTATGTATGCCACCTACATAAAAACCATAATGATAGACAATAATAAAGTAAATGGTTTGAACCCGGGAATGTTTTGACTCTGAAGATGATTACCGCTAAGGTTGTCGAAACGTCAGTCAATAACAACAAAAACTGGAGCCGTCTTGAAGAAACTAATAAAAGCCTTATTTATCCCTTTTTTACTCATTTCTTAATAAAGATAGTCATTGTTTGTCTTTGAAAAGGGAACTGCAAGGTCAGCACTTTTATCTTGACAATACTTTCTTGCATTAAGCCTGCTGGTCGTGTGATTACTGAAATAGTAACAATTTCCATGTACATTTTCCCAACCTATATGAGAATTTTAACTGTTTTAAACATTTCTCAGTTAAGCTAGTTTTTTATTCTAAGACAATATTCGTGCTAAACTCTTAGGTGCACTTACCATTCACCTGACTCGAAGTTCTGTCCAACACAAACAGCAGTAGCAGTAATTTCATGTTGCTTTTCATTTTCTCAATGATGTTATTTCTTTAAAACTGGAAAGTGTAACTTATTACTTGTGTACTCGATATATTTTTAGTGAATCCTATTTCTTTGAGAGTATTTTATTGTATCCTGTAGTTTTAGTGTTTCCCGAGGTGTATCCTTCTAGATCTTATTCGTTTCGTTTTTCGTGTTCGAATGATGTAGTGTTAAGACGAAACTTGTGAATATAACGACCCGAGTGATACATAAGATAAGGAATCAGACAAACAATTTCTCATCAAATCCAGCAGAGACAGAGGAGGGTTATTCCCCTCCCCCGCCCCTTATTAATGTTGCCGACGTTTTACTTTTTGAAATCAGCCCCCGCACGCTTACTTTTTAGCTCGATGCATTGTAATTATTGATGGTGGAATTTTCGATACTAATGAAGTATATGGTTTAAGCACAGGACAATCGTTTCTTTTTTTTACATGTAGATCGTCCAGGTTAGTAGAAACCTGAGAAAGACTTTAGATGCTCATGTTGACTGACGTTTTGAAGATAAAGTACCGCTTAGGTTGTCGAAATTTCAGTCAACATCAACAGTCCTCCGGATTTTACTAACCTGGACGATTTACATCTACAAACATGTAACACCAAATTATCTTATAAAATCCAAATCTGGCAAATCCAAGTTTCGCTACATGTTAAGATTTGGAAAAATGGTCTTGACTACAAGGCAACGCATTGTTAAAAGTAATTTCACAAAAACATAAATAAATTTCCTGAAGCAAACAGAAAAAGATTTGTACAACGTAAAATTATAAAAAAACTATGTGTGTGTGTGCGACTCGGAGAAGGAACACTCGTCAAGTGAGTTAAAAAAGTTTTATTTCTTAATGCTGTTCCATCCAGATAACAAAATTTCAAATGATTTATTTTGCAAAGTCGAAAACCAGAGAAGAGGTAGAATTAGAATTTAAGGTACTAAAGACTAAAATGTTTCTTAAAAAATAATGTAATTCAGCCTTTGGGCTGCGAAGTAATGTTAATATAATGATTTAAATCTATCAATGTCATATATCAATAAAGATCGGTTAAATCGGTCAGCCTGTTTGTGAATGAATTCGCACAGAGTTTATGCAAGCTTTTGACCCTAATCTATCAAAGAAGACTGTAACAATTTACAGCCCATAGATGAAAAATAAAATGAGATATGAGTTATAAACGACAAATGCCATTCCTATGACAAGGCAAGGAATCATCTATAATGAAGGAATAAAACCAAAGAGAGAATTAAAACAGCAAAATCGTATTATTATACTCATGAAATTGCAGCATTCCTCAGAACAACACAAGTAAAAGGTGGAAACAAATTAAAAACCTAATGGGTCGGAACTACGCAACAGGAGTGGTACTGTCAATTCTTGAGAGACAATGGAGATATAAAGGTATTAGCACTGCACATAAAGTTAACGGTCATTTCTTGGTTATAACAGAAATCTTCACAAACCTATTACCTTCTGGCACAAATCAACAAGTGCCAAACGAGTTATTTGTTTTTAAAGAAGAGGTTTATTAGTCGCTTTTAGTTTATAGGTCGGTTTGAAGATCATGTTATAGATTGATCTCGTATGTAATCAAGTATGTAAGAGGTATTTATGTAAAATTAACTATTCTTGAACTTTTTGATTCAGTGGTTAGTACTGCAAGAGACTTTTCAATAAACAAAAATTATTAAGTTGCCTCCTTTGTTTACAGCATTCAACCCTTCGCGGGAAGTATCTGTTCCACATCACTATACTTGTTTCAAACAATCAGACTTTTTTGGCCTTATTCTTTTTACACATTTCTGACTCACTTTTGGGAAATTTCTAGATTATTTTAATTGTGAATGTTCCCATCTCCACAGCAAGGTCAAGAATTTTTTGACTTTCAAAGAATGTTAAACCAGCTAGGCCAAGCCGAAACCTAGACAACAGACATGTAAGTACAGCTACGTGCACATTGCACAAGGGAGTAAGAAAACCATTTAGTTTTCCTAACTAGGTTGCTCTCCGATGAAATTTCTGCTCAAATTACATAGATTTTTGAGGTTAATATAAAAAATCTTTACGTTCTTGCTGAGGCCTAGCTGAATGTGAATACGACATAATATTTGAAAATGTGACAACTTGAGACAAATCTAATTGCAATTTACTCCTAAACCGGGAAAGGTTGAATGCTAAAATGATTGAAGTCAAAGAAGAAGTTTCCAAGCATTCCGTGCATGTTAATAAAATTAAACTAAATTCCTCAGCAAAAGCAAATATATAATAGCACAAGACACACTTTATGAGTAAGTACAAGTGTGTAAAGTAATTATAAAAAGAACACGTGCATGACTAAAAGTTGAACTATATATGTGTGCATGTGCATGTGCGTGTGTAAACTACAGTTCATACATTTCCTACTAGTAATATGATCCTCAACATTTTCCAAGCTATATATTAGGTTTGACGTGGTGGTAGCTGTGACGCTTGCACCATTGTTTGGTTCTGGAAAAAAAACTACACAGTTACCATTATCAAAGATGGTTGAGTGGTTCATTATTAAGACTTATCCGACCTACCCTTGTAAGTGGTGCATCTTGAAAATTAAAAACGGAAGGTGGAGGTTGAGGTGTATATCCATGTAATTGCCATGGGACTAAAACAACAAAGATGTTATAAATAAATGAATATGTGCACTTTATACATTTTTCAATGAGCATACTTGGTTGTCCTTGCCATCTTGAAGATGGAGTGATTTGAGCAGTCGAAGGTGGTTGGTCAGAGTTCAGTAGTCCATGAAGAGGAGATAGAAGATTGGATTGTCCTCGAGGGGCTAAATTTAAGTAAAGGAGGTAGACAATGTATATCTGAAACAAGTTAACTATATATAATACATATGACCTTGATTATTACCAAGCTTACCATGCATTCCAAATTGTTGAGGGTCATCAAACAATATTTGGTTACAAGGAGGTGTGCTCGATGAATAACAACCACGTGGTATGACTGAATTCCACTTGAAAAAGTTTTCCACTGGCTGTATATGAAAATTGCATTATATTTAACGAAAATTATTCAAATATTATTCACGAGTTATCTTATACTTCATGTCATGTGTTAGGACTCTTTGCTCATGGGCGCATGTGTAATGATTCTACTCTTAATGTTTCCGGAACATTGTGTGCGCAAGGGTCTGGAAACAGGTTGTAGTGGTGGACATACAACTTCCAAAGTTCCCTGATATTAAGGCATGGTGACATTCAGCTGACTAAAGTTGTGTTGAGGTGTTCTTCAATAGTTAGAGTATCATAGAAATGCTAATCACACTTCATCGCTCAACTAATTTGAAAATGTTAGCAGAAAGTGCTCCGTATTTGTCTAATCTTTAGATCAACAGTTTCATTTGAGTTGCGTCAAATGTTTCTAAATTTTGAACTTTAAAGAATGCATTAGAAAACATACAAATTGTAACGTAGAGAGATAGACTACTCTTCTCCCAATTCTTTATTAATCAAACCTTAATTTCAACATACCAAAGCGGTGTTTCCCCCACATGACTCTTGAGCAGAGGATTCACTATACTCGCTCATTTCTGATGGTGTCTACAAAATAAATTATTGAATCTTCAGTGTTATCTAAGGTCAAGCTCCACAATTTAAAAATTTTGTACCTTTGGCCTTGTTTCTTCTTCACTTGTTTCTTTCAGATTTTTATCACCAATTATATTTTTGTCATAAACGTCAGTATGTTCTTTTATGCAAAATATCGAAGAGCAATCGGACCATTTTTCAGCGATGACAAATTTATCATCTTCTTTGGCCAAAACAACGACCTGCATCTCACGAACATTTTCAAACTGTATCAAGTCATCTCTTCCGGTAGTCGCGTCGTAAATTTTCACGTCACCATTTTTATCCCTGATAAGATTTTCACAATGACAGATTTCGTCAGTTTGATAAAGTAAAATGCCTACTTTGCGCCCAGAAAGTTTAAAAGCTTTTTCTGCATTTTCAAGCGAAATTTGTTCATCCATTTCCGGTTTTGGGTATATTACATCTAAACATTTTTCCTTTTCTAGCAAAGAAAGCACCTTAGTACATGACAATAAAACAACTTCTTTTTTCAACACATCTGCCAGTTCACTTGTTACTTTAGAGAGCAAATCCTCTGTCTGCTTCCATCCAGAGTTCAATTTTTTCCATGTTATCTCCACCAATCGCATGTCGAACAAATAATGAATAATTTTCTGGGACACCCTTGCCGGGCATAAACCTGTATTTTCATCTTTTAGCGCCACGAGTATCGCATTTATTCCACATGATGAGATCTTACACGTAAGTACTTTTTCAGGATCTACGCGTAAAACCTATAAAAATATTTACTGTATTTTAGGTATAACACAATCGAATTAACTGCGAGATGTTCCATTTTATAACGCAAATATTTGGAAGTTCAGCTGTATAACGGTAATTTAAAAATTGACGAGGAGAAAAAAATTCTGAACAACACGCCTTGAATGCTTCTTACCAATTCAACGGCACCAATACTTGGGTAAGGTTTACAAATGCAAAAAGAAGTTCTGCATGGGTTACGTTTTCCTAATCGAATTTCAGATATACTATCAAGCAGAAATACTTGGTTGTTTTGATTAAAGTCACAGCTCATCAGCATGCTAAGAAGCATGAATAATTTAATTTTAAACAATATTATTTCGGCAGGATAGCCATTAGAATTTATGCCATCTGGTTTAGGCCGTAGAGACTAACCTCCGCACCTCTACTCTAGGAGTTCAGTTAGAAATAAGTGACCATTTGGCATATGTTATGAATGTGAAATAGCTTAGGTTTTGCAACTTGCCAGTCTGCTCTATTCATTTCATTTGCCCCACCCCACCCCTTGATGTTAGCAACATGAAAAAGGCGACAAAAAAGGTCGTCGCTAAAATTTAAACTGAAGGAGGTGGGTTTGTGTATTCATATATTAAGGTCTGTGCTGCGATAAAGTCCTGCAATGAAAAGAATTTTAACATCAGTCAGCCTGATGGCAAAAAATATGACGTTTTTAAGTCAGTTAACTAACACTTAAAATCGCTAAAACTATTCGCTACTTCCGTGCGCGTCGAATTTTTCCCCTAGAGTATGTCTTCGGTGAAAGTACAATATTTTTGCAAAGAGAGCAACACAAATAACAAACGCCAACAAAGCACTGATCCTCAAATCATCTAAAACTACTATTTCGATTGCATAAAAGATACTATTAAAAAAATTATAGTCTTTTCAGATCGTCTATAAATCCCTAGTGTGGGTCGCGCCGCCCGCGTGACATGGGCAGGAATTAGTATTTTTTCTGGCTACGTCACTGACTAGGAGTTAAATGTAGTAACCCTTAAGGTAGCTCGATTTATGCCAACCATTTTAATTGCTATTAAGTCTCGCTGTCTATACGTAATCAGGTTAAGTACTTTTATGATCAGGGTTTATATGGAAGCACAATGTATTGCAACGCACAAATTAAATGATAAATATAAAAGATTAAGACGAGTATCAATTGCTGTTGAGTTTTTTCTCCTCCCTGGTGAAAGTTTAATTCCGAAAAGAAAACGCAAGTTGTTACATATATTGCAGATGCGTTAATGAGTTAACTTAAAAAAAGTTGCTTTTTATCGATGAAGAGATCTAAGATCATAAATATCATGTAATTGATGATTTTGATACTAGTGCATATCCAACTCATGAGCTGAAAAACGTAAAAAACTCCATCAAACGTTTTAAAGAAAATCCTTTACCTTGCAACCACAGTGCCCTGGTATTTTTGCCATAATCAAAGTCCATAACCATTTTAAAAACGACAAAACGCTCTGAAAAGAAAAAACAACAACACTTAACCTAAAACTATGTTAGCCAATACCATTTCTTCAAACTTACTGATCATGTACAAGTGATATTTGCAAAATTATGACTTTTAAATTGTTCATGCGTTGGGGGAAAAAGAAAACAAATGGCTTGACAATATAATTTGGGAGTTTTTTTGTTATATAAAACGAATAAGTAGTATTTAACCATTTAATTTTTTTAGTTCTTATCAAAAATGACGTCATACCAGTGCATCTATAACTGTAGAGACTACGGCTAAATATTATCTATTATTTAAATAGTTAATGATGTTGAATGTCATTTAATTGATTATACTGATGCTACTGAGTATCCAAATTATGCACTTTAATGCAATAGAATTTCATCATAACGGTTTAACCAAAACACTTACCTGTTTAACAGAACACCATTGTAGTTTTGACATAATTGAAAAGCATAGCGTAGATATAATAGATATAATAGACCAGAAGATGTTCTGATATGAAAAAATATCAACGAATGGCAAGTGGCAGAGCATATTGCTAAAAATGTCATATAGAACTCTTTACATGAAAAGGACTGCAGATTAAACTTGAATGAGGGGAAGATGGCAAACCGTAATTGCTTCTCAAACGTTTTAAAGAAAATTCTTTACCTTGCAACTACAGCGCCCTGGTAGATTTGACATAATCAAAGTCCATAACCATTGTAAAAACAACATAGTGCTCTGAAATGAAAAAAAAAACAACACTTCACCTAGAACTATACCACGACAGATAGCAGAGTAAAATTGTAAGAATGTGAAAGGATATTTCAAAAACACTTTATTTACCTCTGAGAAACGTTTTGCATAATCCGGGAGTAATGGAAAGAGGTGATTGCTAATCAAATGACAATTATTGACTTTACCAGTCGACCACAAATATTTCCTTTTGGATTCGTCATTTGGAATTAGGTCTTCGTGACAAAAATTTGCAAGTTCATGTATTGAAACAACAGTCTCACCATCCGCATAATCTTTGCCTGCACTCAAATCATCGACCTTAAGGTAAAAATTGATTCTTCCAGAAAACACTAACTCAATTTACCGTAAAACAAGCATGAAAAAATAAAGAATGAAACTCAGCTACAATACTTGGCTGTCCGCTCCTTCATTAAATGTGTTTGGAGTACGATTGCGGTTCCAGGACTGAAACAATAAAACATTGTAAACAAACTGCTGTCACGACATCGTGACATTTTAATAACTTAAGCTGGGTTGAGGTGTTGTTTGATAGTAATATTATGATTTTTGCATTGTCGTAGACCACACAAATCATTTGAAAATGCAACAAGAAATCGCTCCGTAATTTTCTGGTCGTCAACAACTTTTCATCAATTGTGTCATTCCCCTATTTTGGACTTCAAAGAACATATTTGACATTATACAATTTTCTATACCTGAGAGATTGTGCTTCCTTCACTATCAACAGCCACTGGTTTTAAGCTCTCGGTCAACTGGTAGCAAAAACATAAAATTGACTTCCGTTTAGTCAGGTGGTCGTTGTTTAATAAAGTAAAAAAAAACAACACAAAATATACATACCAAATACTTGTTTGTCATATTTGTCGCACAAACTGAGTGCTCACAACATTCAGACATGTCTAACGGTGTCTATAAAAATCACGGAATCTTCAGTTTTATAAACAGGTTTTATTGTTTTGCACATAAAAAGACAAGCGTCATAATTTTTTACCTTTGCAGGTCTTGCTTCTTCTCCATTTGTGTCTTTATTCTTATTAACACGCATCCTATTATTTGCATGACTGTCATCAAGTTCTTTTTTGCAAAAAATCAAGGAGCAGTCTGCCCATTTTTCAACGATGACAGCTTTACCGGCTTCTTTAGCCAAAACAACAACCTGCACCTCACGAATATTTTCATACTGTACAAGCTCATCTCCACCGTTTGTTGCGTCGTGAATTTTCACGTTACCATTTTCATCCCTTATTAGATTCGCACAATAAGTCTTTTCATCAATGCGATAAAGTAAAATTCCTGCTTTACACCTACAACTTTCAAAAGCAATTTTTGCATATTCCAACGATAGCCGTCCATCCAAAGTTGGTTTAGGGAATATTGTATTTAAAAGGTTCTCTTTTTTTAATACAGAAAGTTCTTCACCACATTGCAGCAAACTATCAGGTTTTTGCAGTTCATCCTTGGTATCATTCATTACTTTAGAGATTAATTCCTCAGTTATTTTCTTTCCCAACGCTAGTTTTGCCAATAGTATGGCCAATTTTGATAACACTGCCTCCTCCAGTTTTGTAATATAGTAATACAACCCGATTTTTTGCATCACTTTTGCTGGACACAGATTGCAATTTTCAAGTTTCAACATCAGGAGTAGAGCATCTTTCACATTTGGCAAGTGATTACACGTCAGCAATTTGTGAGGATCTACTACGCCGGCAACCTAAAAAATGATGTATGATACACCTGTGGTCAAAAATAACTGCTCAAGTTTGTCATTATAGAGCTATAATTACAGGAATATGTAAAGACAATCAATGAAAACGATAAATCAAATGAAATATGTTTAACTTTTTTAACTTTTCGTAGATGGCAGGCCTTCTAATCCTCCTTCCTTCCCTTATATTATTAGGCAAGAATTTTTCCAAGCAGGGTGGATACTGTCCCACAATTCATTCTTGAGGTTTTTGTTTCGAGTCAAAGTTTCAAAATGTCACTAAAAAATTGTTGGCTTGTTACGTAGATCCATTAATCCGTAACTTGCCTAATTTCTTCTTATCAACGAAATAACTGTTTGCTCAATAATTGTTATTGTATTCGGTAAGCAATAAAAATTTGAGAAATTGTTTTTGACGTTTAAAATTCTTGAACAGTCAAAATTTTAGGATAATCACTTCTATACATTGGATATTTTTACCATCTAATTTACTCAAGGGAAAAATTATCAAATTTTGAGTAGCTTTCGCTTGGCTACATTTTAAAACATTGCATAAACTTTCCTTTTTCCTACAAAATGATACATCTACTGAAGCTACCATCTGAGCATCAAAGACAACCTTGCACACAATACCAAAACATCAAGAATGAATTCACGTGGCTATGCTAGCCAATACCATTTCTTCAAACTTATAGATCATTTACGAGTAATATTTGCAAAATTATGATTTTTAACTTTTTCAAGTGCTGGGGTAAAAAAAGAAACAAGCTGCTTGACAGTTTAATTTGGAAATTTTTTTATTTTATTATATAAAACAAATAGGTAGCATTTAACCATTTAACTTATTTAGTTCTTATCACAAATGACGTCATACCAGTGCATCTATAACTGTAGAGACTACGGCTAAATATTATCTATTTGTTAAAAAGCTAATGATGTTGAATGTCATTTAATTGATTGTACTGATGCTACTGAGTATCCAAATTATGCACTTTAATGCAATAGAATTTCATCATGTCGGTTCAACCAAAACCTTTACCTGTTTAACAGAACACCACGGTAGTTTTGACTCAATCAAAAAGTATGGCGCTAATAAAAATGATACAATAGCCCAGAAGATTTTCTGGAATGAAAAAAATATATTACGAGCAGACTGCTAAAAATGTCGTATGAAAAGATGTTTTAAAAATTATGCTATTACCGTAAGGAAAATCTTTACATAATTTAGGGAAGATAGCAAACCGTAATTGCTGCTCAAACGATTCGAATGACAATCATTGACAGTACTACTACCATTGTCTTCCTCTTGTATTAAAATAGCAGTCTCACCACTCAACACATCGAACTACAGGTAAAAATGATTATTGTAGAAAATACTAACTCAAGTTTCCGTAAAAACCTACATAAAAATAAAAAATGAAAACGAAATACAATGCTTGATTCACATTTGCTGTTCGTTGGTTCTTGTGTGTTTGGGATATCATCAAATTTCCAGGACTGAAAAAGCAATTATTTTAAGTTCCAAACACAATGATGTTACGGCATAAAGTTGTGTTGAGGTGTTGTCCAATATTTAGTATTATAAATTGCATATTGATTGATGGGCTCGACTAGAACCCATAAAATTATCTAAAAATGAAATAAAAGTGCTCCGTGTTTTGTTTGGAAATAAAAACAACAGCTTTTCCTCAGTTCTGCCAAGTGGTCCTTCATTTTAGACTTTAAAGACTATGTTGTAGAATTTAAATTTTACAACACCTGAGTGATCGCTTGTCCACCACTTTCTTCAACTATTGGTTTTGAATGATGAGTCGAATGCTGGCAAAACATGGAGTTGACTTCAGTTCAAATTGAAACAGTTGGTCCTTGTTTCAAAATTCAAAGAGAAAACTGCAAAATGTACATACCGAATAATTTGTTCCCATGTTCAACCCTTCAGTTGATGGTCTAATATTCTCGTGCATTTTACAATAAGCCTACGAAAAATATATAATGTCAATTTTGCACACTTTTCTATTTCTATGTTAGTCTTGTAACTAGGATAAATATTGCGTTAGTTAACCTATTAGTAAACAATTTCTAAATCAAGAGATATCTTAAGAAGTTGCAACTTTCCTGTTTCTTCCAAGTTTGAAGAAGAAAAAGAAAAAGATTAAGAATAAGAATGAGCAGTATTCAATGCATGTCTTCATCCAACATTTCATTGTGTTCCTACAAGTATATCACTTTGCTCATGTTGTACTATAAAATATACTCATTTAATCTCAATGATTCTCCACACTATTAATAAAAATTGCCTAGTTACGTATTGCAGGCAGGTTATTTCCATGGGAGATTAACCATTTTTGCTAGTGTAGTCAAAAAGCATCAGACCAAATCAGCTAGCCAGCAAAACATAAGCTGAAACAAGTCGTCAGCATTAAAGTGTCAGAGAATCCCCATCAATCCGAGGTAAAGAGCTTCACTAGATAAACTACTATTTGCCCTTAACAATTAATGCCAAGGTCATACAGTGGATCTGACCTTCACGGATGATAAGTATTGAATCGTTTCCATTTACCAAAATCATTTAACGCCTCACTGAATCCCTGTTAGCCGGGATCATGAAAACAGCCCTAAGTTTGTTCTGGCCATTAGGGAATTACATATAAAAAAGGCAGCGTTAGAGCTTGTTGGTGACTGACTTAATAGTTGTAGCTGGATCAGTGTTATTGTGGCAGTGACAACAGAAAGAGATGCTTATTTTTCATCAGAGCCATCATACTTTATATAAAAACTTGACATCTGTTAACTTGAAGTCACCAATGGCTCGCTCGTAGTTCACAAGAACAAAGGAGCTTCCTCTCCATTGTTTTAGACTACGCACATGCGCAAATGAATACATATTTTAAAGGGGACACGGGAGATGTGAGACTGACCAAAATCTGGCAGTATTGAGAAGACTGATGATCGCCACACGCCACCCCATAAGAAGCAAGAACCGTGCAAGAGGTCATTATGAACAATTTCCAGTTGTTTATCCTTTGTTTTGAGAATAAAGTTTTGCCGATCGTGTCAGCAATTAAAGAAATGAGAAATCCATTTCAGTAGGAGAACACAAGAAATCATTGGTGATGCCGTGGTCGAAGCTGGGACATAGGCGCTTGAGGAAGTTACTAATGGTCAAGATCGCTAAAAATGTTTTTTCCAAGAGTGATTCCAGAGAAGAGCAGAGTCAAAGTCGAAGTAAAAAGTTCGTAAATAAAAAAATTTAGTTGAAGTTACAGTTCATTTTTAAAACGAAAACCTGAAACACTGGATACAATTTTTTTAAATCTTTTTTACATCACTTTTATGCTAGTCGTAATGGAATGAAGACATGAAGAAAGAGACAAGATAATTATAATTCTGGCCATATGATTGGTCCACGTCAGTTCGCTTTGTCTTCGGGGGCGAAGCCCCAATATATGTCTAGTTTATTTACGACGAGAGTAATGAAGACGTTAATGTGAATCATGTGAATCCCATTGCAGCACAATGCGAAATGAATACACTTTTATTGATTTATCATACATTCAGTCACTTATTTGGAGTTGGCATACTATTTAAGACATCTGTGCTCGACATAAATAGGACATAACCGAAGGTATTCAATTCACCGTCAACATAAACGACGAAGCAATTTTGAAGAGTTGAAACCGAAATCTGTTGACTACCTGCTGTGAAGCAGTTAATACAACAAAAACATTTCACTTGGCGGAATTTTTTTTATCTCTACTCGTCGACAAATAAATGCACTGCACTTGAGGTAATAATATGATACATGATTGATGTCAAATTTTATTTTTTGGAGAAAAGTTTCTGTGTACTTTGATATCTAACATTGGCACACTTTATTCCATGTATTTAACTGCATGATCCACTAGGTATATTTTTAATGACAAGGAAGACATTCATTAAATGTGGATGGAGTACAACAACAATCAAATTTTATTCTGCCTCGTTGTCTTATAGCTTGAGTAAATGGATACTATAGTTTGTTTATGTGTAAGAGATAACACTGCTTTACTTCATAACAAAAAAATTTCGTTTATAGTTGGTCAAAACAGTAGAGGAATTGTCGCACTGGCCGAGAATATTTATTAATATATTTTCCAGGAATTCACTTTTAAATAAAGCATTTTATTCTTTCTTTTTGCCTTGTGTTGAAAATATTTTAAATTAATGCATCAATAATTAACAGTTGGTAATATCATGTGTAAAAGCTTGCGAACTGTTTTTATGTATTATGATGCAACCTGTAGCTCTAGGCTGTTTTATAAAGATTTAACATATAAAAATTGTGTTAACAAAAATTGTATCTTGTACGGCAATTAACAAATGTAAAATGACCAATATAAGTTACTCAAATAGATAGAACTATTAATGTAGAGAAAAGTATAGATGTATATAACATACAAATACTTCTCCAATTGCTCAAGGCTATATACAGAAAATAGTTACACACTGTAAGAAGCATGATAATTCCCATGTGAATGAATTAGGTGGTCAACTTTTTATAAGCTTTTAACTATTTTCATTATAGGTACATTCATATATATAGTATACAGTTATTGCTTTTTAAGTACCTTGATCTTGTTCTCATTGCTAATTAAACAACTAGCTGGCTCATTAGTCATTGACTATTAAATAATGGGGTATTCAGAATCTTTGCATTTTCATTTTCTGGGATGGAGCATACTTTGAAGGTTTGGGGAAGGGGGGGAGGGGGAGGGTAACACATATTGTTGATATTCAGGTGCACAGTGAGCCTAACATCTTTGCATACATGTATATATAATTTATATTTTCCTTTATTTAGTCATGTTATTTTTTCATGTTAGAATACTATCCAATGTAAATTGTGATTGGTTTTTTAATACCTTTTGTGGGTTCAGGGATTGACCCGATAGTATGCAAAACTAAATTGCCTGAGAAGCCTTTAAAGAGCTGTCCATGTTGCTTAAATATAATAGCATAGCCATCCCCAAAATATGGCCATGCTTTGTGAATTTTTCTGCATTTACTCATTACCAAAGAAAGTGTAATGATAATTAATGAACTGAAATTTACTTTTCAGGACCAAAACATGCAGGGTGGCTGTACCATTGGTTGAATATAATCAATTCAACAAGGTAAATAGTTAATGATCATTCTGGACAAAACAGTCCGTCAAATCAGTTTTCAAAAAAACTACGAAGAATAAAAAGTTGATTATTAGCAGGAAATCATATTTAAGAGTGCATAACCTTTGCCTTTCAACAATTTATAGTTGATGTTTAGATTCATCATATTTGTAGTTGTAATAGTTTGTCCTTTTTGGTTCAAACATTGTTGAATATATTCTACAAAGATTTTTATTATACATTTTTACATTTATTTGATGAACATTTCCCAATACATGTCTCTATGAGTATGAAGATAGACTACATACTAAATCCAATACCAAATAGTAAAATTCCCAGTTACCACATAAACCCTGTGGTCAATATAAATATTGATTGATTTATTGATTGATTGACTGAGTGGTGTATTAAGATATATCATTGCTGCCGTTTGCTTAATTATGTATAAATTATTTTTAACATGAAGGTAAAAGTTAAGGGTTATAAGATGAATCAAAAATTATATTTAAGTATATTTACAAGTAATACACAAAAAACTAAATTAGTTAAAAGTTTATTTTCTTTGAGTTTCAAATTATAAAACTATTACTTAGTCTATGTTTCTTACAGAGAGGAAAATTGAAATTATGCTTAATCTGCTATCGATGATCAGTTTCATTTAAATGTTTTGTAGAACATGGAAATGAATGTTAGCTTGAACCCTCCTTCATTGTAATAAATGACAAAATGTCACACGAAGTGCAAATTACAATGAAGGATGGTGTAGGATAAAAGAGGATGAAGGAGGTATCATAAAGAAGGAGGTGTCATAAAGAACAAGATCTGGGAAGTGGCAAATTGCATGATGCATCCCATTGATAAAGCTAAGCTGAACCCAAACAGCCCAAATGCATAAAAAGAGTAAGTAACTTTTGTAACCAGAGCTAAGAACATCAAACTTGCCTCACATCTAATATAAACATAAGTAGAACATTGATTTGTTGCTTTATTGTTGTTAATATTTGATTTTGCCCACATGCAAAAATGATGAAACAAGTTGAAACAAAAAAATGTTGAGCAAGGAATTCTGTTTACTTACAACTGTTTTGTTAGCAGCTGGAGATGGCAATTTTGAAAATTCTTTCTCGTGATTCTGCCTCTATACTAACAAGAAAAAATAACACCTGCTAATTTATTGGCTATTTAAAATCATGCTATAAATCTCGGAAATGTTGACATAAGCTCACCCTCATAGACTGGAGAGTCAATTTAACATTTGTGGTGTTTCAATTGACTGTTGCATTAACCTTGAATTAACACAATTATTTATTACCTTCGTAAAGTTCAACCGATCACTCCGATGGTCAAGAACAGAAAATGGCGTCGTAAATAATCAAGTCTATACTTTGCTAATTGACACTGTCAAAATGTACAAATACTCACTTGAAATAATGTAACTTGGTACAGATATAGCCGTTGGTACTATTAATTACAATCTTTTGATAGTAAAAAACGTCATTTTGCTGTTTAGCAAGCCATTTGCCATTAACCATTTGCTATTAGCCATTTTTTTCACACTTGTTGTGTCACGTGTTACCCACTTTTAATAAAGTTTCATCATCATCGTCTGTGATAATTTATTGAGAGAGCAGTAGAAGATCCTGAACAGTTCCGTCAGTATCATAGATTGAACAGGCAATCATTTAAAGATATTTTGAAGATTGTTTTTCCATACATTGTGAAACAAGACACGCAAATGAGGACAGCGTTAAAACCTCGCGAACGACTGGCAGTAACCCTGCGATTTCTTGCAACATGTACGTAGAATTACGTATAGTGATTGAGCACTTGTTCGGAGAAAGCAGTTCTCTTACTGTTTTATTATTTTCCCATTTTAGGTGAAACATTTCGTAGTCTGTCATTCCAGTTTAGAATTGGCGAGCATACAATTTCGAATATTGTTGAGGAAACATGCCATACTTTGTATATCTCGTTAAAGGAAACATGTTTAGAGGCAAGTTATTAAACATTTATAACAAATATCGGCAGTATAATTAACAATAACTGTTTACATTCATTAAGAGCTCATGTTATCATAGGCAGATGAGTCTTGACCTGAATTAAGCTCTCTAGAGATTGGTGAAGACCACATATTAACAACAGGACGGCTCAATCCACCATCTATTGGGGAAGATGTGTTGTATCGTTGACTATTTGTCATATGATTGCTGATGGGGTGCATGTTGTTTTGTGCATAAGGTGGTTGAAACATATGTTGGTGCATAGCTACTGGCGCTCTTGTGCTATGGTGTGTAAGTTCCCCTGATTGAGCCTGGAACAGTATTTCATTAATTTTGTATTGTGCCAAGTGCCTTACAGTGGGGGAAAGTTCAGACAACGACTGCGTGATATAATGACCAAAAATGCTTCATCCTGGTTATTACATTGCTTGTGAGACATTTCTCTGTTTCTTTTTCTTGAGATGTTTTTTGCCAAACAAGTCATGAGATTGTATTCTTCGTCTGCCTGCCTTCTTCTATTTGGCTTTATACGTGTTGACTGTTTAGTACTAGAAATGGGACAGTCAACCTCGTTCTCAAGACTGTTGCTTGGTGTTGCTGGATCATTAAAACTGTCGTCATCATCATCATCGTTTTGATCATCAACTTCATCAGCAATTGTTATGCATGATGGTGAATTGGAATCGTCCTAGAAGCATTCAATAAATGAACATGCATTAGTTTAACATAAGCAAATTTATGATGTAATTGCTTTTATTTTCTTCAATTACAGACTCCATCTTGTGCAGAAGAATGGAAGGCTGTTGCAGACCAATTTGAAAAAAAAATGGAACTATCCTGGCTGCATTGGAGCTCTAGATGGGAAACACGTAGCCATACAACAACCAAATAGTAGTGGATCAGAATTTTTCAACTACAAGTATTTTTTCAGTGTTTTGCTTCTATCTCTAGTAGATGCAAACTACAAGTTTTTTATGTTAATGTTGGAGCAGCAGGCCGTGCAGGAGATGCTGGCGTGTATAACGAGTATAGCTTGCAAAAAGCTAATCTTGAAAATAGTCTTGGTCTACCACTACCAATTGAAATTACAGGAGTTTCGTCAAAAATACATTACCACATTGTGGGTGATGTTGCTTTCCCATTGAGCAAAACAATGATGAAGCCATTCCCTCACGGGAATTTAAATAAAGAAAAAAGACTCTTTAACTACAGATTGTCTCGTGCAAGGCGGGTAGTAGAAAATGCTTTTGGGATTCTTGCCAGCAAATGGTGTGTGTTCCTAACTACAATAAGATTGTGTCCTGACAAGGTTATCTAATTCTAGCTGCTTGTTGCTTGCATAACTATATGATAGAAAAGAATAAATCAGGTTATACAGCACCAGCAGATGTAGAGGATGACAATCATCTTGTCACACCTGGCTCATGGTGAAGAGATGCATGCATGACAAATTTGAATCCATTCAACACAGACAGAAATCCTTCTAATAGTGCCAAAATGCAACGTGAAATTCTGACGACATATTTTAACACTTGCGGAGATGTATCATGGCAGGATAGCATTATCTAGCAGTAGCACTTACTCTTAATTATATATATATATATATATCACCTTTATAGGTTTGACTGGACACTAATACAACTGAGACATACATCGGATTTACAGAAAAACGATTTTAAGACTCGACACAGGAACCACACTGCCTCTTTCCGCCACAAAAAACTAAGAAACTCCACCGAACTGAGCAAACACATATGGACACTAAAAGACAACAACATCGCTCACGATATCTCATGGAACATCATCACTCACAGCAAACCGTACAACAGCGCCAACAAAAGATGCAACCTATGCCTGAAAGAAAAATTCTTTATCACCTACCAACCACAACTATCATCACTCAACAAACGTAACGAACTTATCTCCTCTTGTCGCCATAGACACAAGCACTTTTATCAAATTTGTAATCGTACACTCAACATATTATGTAATTCTATCTTAATTTTTTACCCTAACTTCCTCTTGTATATATAATCTAGCACATGCTTTTGTATTCATTTAATACTATCCCCTGAAGAGTGAGAAATCACGAAACAGGCTTGTCGGGATGAAATTGTAGTTTTTGTGTATTTTCTTCTTCTTATCAATATATACGCTCTGCTCTTAAGCATCGAGCACTGTACTTACGGAGATTCAAACAAACAAAACTTCCTATATATATAGAGAGAGAGTCTCATATGGAGACGTTCACCGTGTTCGCGATATGCAAAGCTCACCTTTATAGGTTTGAGCACTGTGGTGACTCTACAATACAATCCATAATGTGTAACTGTACGTCCTGTGTCCCAAGTGCAGGAGTCATCATTTTACTATGGTGATAGCCGGAGGGCACATTGTATATACACTTTGTATATATATATATATATATTTGGTAACCCAGGCATATTATGATAATATTAAGGATTCTTTAGATTTTTATTTTGAAATTTTTATCAAGCTTTCAACTTGGTGCTTCGAGCCTTCGTCAGAATGTAAGAATATATTATTTACAAAGATTTTGTAGGCGTTTGGAGCGTCTGATTGAATGGTTAGTAGTTGAGTTGATATTATTGGATGGTATAAGATGCGTTGTCATGGTTTCGGGTGTATAGATTGCGATAATGAAATTCGAGTGTTTTATTTTAATCGTTGTGTTATTAGTTTGTTGTTTTGGTTTTGTATTTAGTTGTGAATAGATGATGGGGATGTCAATATGTCTGTTTATTGTGTTGTTGTCTTTGCTGTACCATGCCTCTTTGAATTCTCGTGCGTGTTTTGTCTGTGCGCGTCCAAGAAGTTGTGTTTTTGTCCAGTCAAATGTGTGGTTGGTATCGTAGGTATGTTCTGCTGGTAGTGATTTTGGGTCGCATCGTTTGATGGCATTCTTGTGTTCAGTGAGTCTTGTTTCAATTTTCTTGGAAGTTTGTCCTATGTACTATTTGGGGCAATCTTTACATGGTATCTTGTAGATCGCGTTGGTTGTGTCCAATGTCGTTGTTCGGTCTTTATGTTTAGTGAAGTATGATTTGAGTTTGTGTGTTGGTTTATGTGCGATGTTTATTTTGAATGGTCGGAGTAGTCTTGATGTCATTTCTGATGTTCCGTTTATATATGGTAATGTCACTATTTTTAATGGTTCGTCTTTACCTCTTCGTTAGGTTTTTCAGTTTGTGGTTTGTCGTGTATCAAAGACGCCGACAAACTAGACTTTGTTGCCGATCTAGAATCCACACTGAAATTCACCAACTTAAGTAATGAAATCAAAGAAGACATTCGCCACAAAGTAACGACAAACCTCTGCCTCAAAAGACCAGTCACACTTAACAACGAAGAACAAAAAGCTATCAGAAACTTACGAAACGACGAAGACATAGTCATACTACCAGCCAACAAAGGACGCAAAACTGTAATCATGGACAAATCAGACTACATCAACAAAGCGAAGATCCTCTTACAAGACACCAACAAGTACGAACCTCTACAAACAGACCATAACAAAACCACTACCAACCGCATCAACAAGAAATTAAAACAACTAAAAGACAAAAAGAAACTTAACGAAACCGTCTACAAAAGAATCCGACCAAACGACTCCTCCACCGCCAAATTCTATGGACTACCAAAAATTCACAAAGAAAACAACCCGCTACGACCAATTGTATCTCTTCCTGGATCTCCCACGTATGAACTATCAAAATATCTTTCTAATATTCTGCACCCACTAGTCAAATCATCACATCATACTATCAAAAATGCCACAACTTTCCTCAACAATACTAAAAATGTAAAACTAAAACCAAACAAAATCATGATATCTTATGATGTAGTGTCACTTTTCACATCCATACCACTAAACATAGCCAAACAAGGCACAAACGAACTACTTACTAACAAAAACTCGTGGAAAATCACAACCGAACTAGACCAAGACGATATCATCGACCTGCTCGAGCTCTGCCTCTCCACTGAATTCTCCTTCCAAAATTCATATTACCGACAAATCTCAGGAACACCAATGGGTTCTCCTTTATCCACCTTCCTTGCAGAAGCTGTTATGCAACACCTTGAAAAGCAGTCAGTCACCAACAACACACACATCAGACTATGGAGATTTGTTGACGACATCTTTGCTATCGTCGAAAAAGACAAAACAGAACACATTCTACACACAATAAACAACACCACACAGAACATAACCTTCACCATGGACAAAGAACAGAACAAACAACTTACCTTCCTAGATATTCTACTTACCAGATCACATGACGGCACATTAAACACACAAGTATTCCACAAAAATACACACACAGACCAAATACTCAACTTTAATAGCAATTACCCAACACAACACAAAATTAGTTGCATACGAACTTTCTTTAACAGGATTAAAACACACTGCAATATAGATGAAGCCAAAAAGAATGAACGCAACCACTTATACTCTAC